CCCCCCCCCCCCCGCCTTCACTCTTCATCCGCGCTCGTTCTAAGACCAGCACAGGAGAAGTTTTCAATCTGTTTCAATAATTGTAGGAAAAAATGTTTTTTTGACCTTTGACCCTGGCACAAGCAGACAGACAGACAAACTATTTTATTTCATATGACCCTCTCTACAGTCGAGGGAATAATCTATCGGGTGGGTGTATGGGTGTGGGTGCGGCTCTTGGGTGAATACATTAGTTGATGTATGAGCGTGGGTGGTGGTCTCGGGTGAAACTGAGTTGATGTATGAAGTTGGGTGGGGTCTTAGATGAAACTATGGGTGATTGTATGAGCGTGGGTGGGGGTCTTGGGTGAAACTATGGGTTGATGTTTGAGTGTGGGTGAACGTTCAGTGGTTTTTTTGGGGCGAGTGCCTACAGGTAGGTGGCTGGAAGCGATGATCGGCGGATCTGTGCCCTTAGTGGAGGATTTTATGTTGGTCTGGTGTTCAGTTTTTGTCAAGCTGTTCATAATGGAATAAGAAGTTGATGGGGGTTTAGAATGGCTAGGAGTGGTGTCAGAAGGCAGCTGAAATGGCTAGGTGTTCCAACTTTTATGCAGCTGCAACTGATTTTTGGAGTAAGAAAAGAGCGACCAATAAATAATCGTATGTATTACCGTACCTAAATACACTGAAGGCGAGAAATACAGATATCAGAAGATACATTCGCTAGACTCAGATGTGTCAAATGTAACCGAATTCTTTGAGTTAAACCTGTTCAGTATATGGAAATTTGACAAAGGCAAAGAAAGAAAACGGACAGGAGTAAGTGATGATTGCTGTTGGTGTTTGTAGTAAATTTGCATTAATGGTAAAAGTATTCTTTTGTAGTTGAGTGTTTGTTCCAGTTGGACTCATAAATGGGAGTTGGAGATGGTTTTTGGCGGAGTTGCCTATTTCTGGATGGAATGGCGAGTGGTCTCGTGGTAGTGAAGTTGATGGGCAGAAGTATGCAGATGAGGATGAGGATGCCTGGAAAGTTGGATAGACTTAGGGCACACTAAGATTTCTGTTTGACGTTCTATATTTTTTACTCTTGTGTATGCTTCGTGGCGCATTTGATATGTTGTGTATGGTTGTGATGTTGTTCGATTGAAGTGGCCGTAGTGCTTATTGTATGGCGCCACGGTTTCTTTCTTATTATTGCATATTGTATTACTAATATAAAATTGAGGCTTTTTCATGTCTCTCCAAAAAGAGTAGGAAAAATTCAGTATTTTGTTTTCAAAAGTTACGAAACATATCTGCGCAAAACATCTGAATTGTTTCTTCGTGTATGAAAAATTGTTAGACTAATTTGTGCCATATTGCGGACACGAAAAAATACCTGTTCTCTACACTCGAGGGTTAAGTGAGTCGGCACGACGAGCGCTACTTGTTCACTTACGTCAGAGAAAAAAGAATAGGAAAGAAAGATTTTCGCCGAAACATTAAACATAATAGAGTGGTACGTTATACACGACTTTTACCAACATACGTTCTCCTACCGTGCTTATTAACGTCAATAGAATTACTTTTGCGGACGAAGAACATTCTTAGTCAGGTACAATAGTACACTCTGACTATTCGTTGTGTTTACATAGACAGCCAGTCGCAGTAATTGGCGTTCTGCTCTTCAAAGTTTCTCAGAAATAAGCAATAAAAACTACTTGATTTTGTATAAAGCACGTGTGTCATAACACAACTTTACATTCTTGAGGGTGTGGGTGTGGGTGAGGGTGAGGGTCAGTTTGAAATGACGACATAAAGGAATTCAATTAAAATAATCATTTCATGCGTCCACGAAAGCCATACAAGACATTTCAGTAGATGTATCCACAGAGACATGTTCAAATAAGTACGAGAGACTTGTTCGAGAAGATCACTAAATCAAAGCAGGACTCGAACCCATATCTTCCGATAACCGGTCGGGTATTCTACCAATTGAACTATTTGAAATATCACTTCAGTCAGGATGAGGGTGAGGGTGTGAGATATTACTACCATGACCGGTTTCGAACCTTTCATCTTGAGCAGAGCTGGGCAAATCAACTAAAAAAGGTATTCAATTCAATTCAATTCATTGAGAGTAATATGCAACTCAATTCAATTCAATTCAGTGGTTTCTAGAAATTTTCTCAACTCAATTCCATTCAATTCATGTAGCATGAAAATTTCTTGCAACTCATTCAATTCAACTCGTGAATCAAATTGAATTGAGTTGAATTGGGCCCCGAGTTGTGCCGTTTTTAGGTAAAATATGTAGTTTTTAATGGGTAGAAATTAGGAAAATTACGTTTCACAATATAATAAAACATTGTTAAACAGAACACAACACTTTATCTTGATGAAATTTGATAAATAAATTATTATCTCTCTCAATTAATAGAATATTTTTCTGAATTGAGTTGAGTTCAATTCGGAGATAACAAAAAATAATTTTCAACTCAATTCAATTCGATTCAGTGACTTTCGAAAACTTTTCTGAACTCAATTCAATTCAATTCGTCAATGCAGAAAAATTTTATCAATTCAACTCAACACAATTCATCAACTCAAAAAAAGCATCGTCAACTCAACTCATCCAACTCAAAATAAACATTTTCAAAAGAAAAAAGCTTATTTCAAGCACAATCACAGCAAAATTATATTATTCTGTTACAAAATCAACAAAAATGAATATGTTCATCAATTATTATTATATGAATTAAAATTATCCTTTATGAATGATTTTATCGTGAGAAATCCTACACTGGTCTGAAAAAGGTAAGCTACCGAATAATATATTCAAAAATTATTCTTTTGCGTTGACAGAATCCTTTCATCCTTTTCATTCTGATTTGATCAATAAATTATAGGACTGAGGGTGGAAGATAGATGTCGATCTCTGTTCTTTATCGTTACCTTTACCCTTACCCTTCAGAGACAATTAAATGCATTTTTCCTCGCTTTTTCTCCTTTTCTTGTCCATAATCAAGCATAAATGTAGTGACTAGCTTGCTTGCTCACGTTTTTCTTTTGTTTTTTGTTTACCATTCACAGCCGACGATATATAAATGCATCATTTTTTCTCGTTCTGTTCTCAGTCGTCGAAAGTACGCTTGTAGAATAATTAATTTAACACATTCACAGTTTTTCAGATCGTTCAGTCACTGAAAGAACGTAAAACAAATTTCTTTTACTTTACCAAAATGTCGCAGAAGCATCATCACCATGGCTCCTTTTCTGGAAATCATGCAATTACCTATACTCTCTATATACCGTCACCTGTCGCCGCCACTAATCTGTTACCTCTCGCAGTTATTATTCATGGCAAAAAACATAATGTCCGAGAAATGCTCGATGATTACAAAGATTTTTCTCGAGAAAATCATTGTGCACTCTTCTTACCCTACTTTCCTGACGACTATCGTTACAATATGATGATCGATGAAGGTGATCCATCTTTTCGTTCTGATCTCGTGCTCCTTCAAATGTTAGATGAAATGAAAAGCGCGCACCAGCACGTTGATACAAGCAAATTTCTTCTTCATGGTTTCAGTGCTGGCGGGCAGTTTGTACATCGATTTGCCTATTTACATGCCAGTAGAATTTTAGGTCTATCAATCGGGGCTCCAGGTGGAATTACTTTGATCGGTAAATAAACTTTTGATTCTAAGTCGCGTAGGAGTTTGGGAGAAATTTTAAAAAGTTAGATATAATTAGTAGGGATATTGAAGTAGATTTTTTCACAATGGTTCTGGTGCTATTATTTGAATAATTTCTATACTGAGAAGTTTCTGTTGCACCGCACCTGAACTGTTTTTTTGATAGTACAACTACAAATAAATTCAAAATAGACGCTATCTTGGAAAATATTGTATTATCTAACTAAAGTCATGCTTTTTATGTATAAACGAACTATTCAGGGACTTTATGATGTGCACATTTTTTCACGGTTGAGAATTGTATAACCAATTATCCTTAATTTATAGATTTTTCGTCTTCGCCAATTGAAGAGGCTATCGAGGAAAATTGAACAAAACTATCACTTCGCTCTTTTTTTTAAATCTTAGTGAAGAACATTTACAGGATCCAAATATAAAGACAAGACGAAACTGCTTTTCAAAAGCCAGACTTTTAGGTTCTAAATTCTCTTAAGTCAAAAGCTATTTATCCGTGTAATTATTAGATGTTTCAAGCATTCGCCTTATAAAGAATGATATAAATCTATCTAAAATTGTATGATTTTCGTGGCTTGAAGATGTACTTTTTTATATCTACAAGAACGAAAAAAAATGCTATATGACAGACAGATTTCCCCGCATGGTTCACTGATTTATTGAGTGGTGATAGGTTTTTGCGAGCATCGCTGTTATCTATGGTGAAACAAAAATATGTGAGAAGGTATCCAGTTGTTCGACTATTGATGTGAGATAAAGCGAATTCCAACTGACCCTAGCACAACCAACTTTTGAAATGCAACTTTATCAAATCTTTGTCTTTAGATTTTCAAAGCGATTGGCATACAGGCATTGCAAATCTTGAAGCAGTTTCCAATGGAGGTAATTTTGATATGGAAACTATGAAAGTTTTACCAATTCAAATTTGTATCGGTGATTCGGATTTCGATAGAGACCGTTTGGGAAAAGCGAAACAATTGAGAGACAACTATAAACACGTTGGAATACAGCATGTGCAATACGATTTAGTGAAACACGCAGCACACGATAGTTCAAAAATGAGAAATGTTGTTAGTGAATTTTTTCGAGATGTACTATCAAATGTTCATCAAACTGCACATAATGAAATTGCTTCCGGACCGTCAGAAAGAGCACACAGTGTGATTGCTCTTCGTTCTAACGCCAACGGAAAATTTGTCTGTGCTGAGAATGGAGGAAAAGGTTCCTTGATCGCGAATCGCGATTCTGCCTCTGGTTGGGAAACTTTCGATATGATTGATCTTGGAGGAGGACATGTTGCATTAAAATCACATGCCAATGGGCGATATGTTTGTGCCGAAAATGGAGGTAACGGCTCATTGGTAGCCAGTAGTAAAAAAATCGATGCTTGGGAAACTTTTATAATAGTTGATCGCGGCCATGGCAAGGTGGCTTTCAGAGCAGTCAACAGAAAATACGTCTGTGCTGACAATCATGGCCACAGCGAACTAAAAGCAGATCGAGATAAGGCCGACAAATGGGAGACTTTCGATGTAGTTCCGAAATAACTCTTTTCCAATATACTTGTCTCAATATATGATTGTCTCATCACATACAGTTGTCCTTCTATGATTTTCATATTTATACTCATTTATTCGCTAACAAACATTCTTGTTTCTCTTTTTTTGTCTTCTATATTTTATACTCTCCCAGCGACAAAATAAAGTTAACTACTGCATTTCATTTTTATACCACCTATTACACTATTTCGAAAAGATAAAATATATCACAAGATGCAGCGTGAAAAGCTCTACAATTTAGAATGATCAGTTATAAAAGAATGAAATCGGAAAAAACAAATTCCTCTTGGACCAAAAAGATTTGTCACCTCGTGTTGTCGAAATTCGATCACTCGAAATTTTATTCATTTTGAAAACAAAAAAGAACAATTATAAAATAAGCAGTATTATGTAAATTGTAGAGCTTTTCATGCTGCATCTTGTTATATATTGTATTTCTTAATACAGGGTAACAGATGCTGTAAAAATGAAGTACAACACTTAAATTTGTTTTGGTCGCAGAAGAGGTTTTTTACATTGTTACATTCCAGTCTTTTTATAAATAAAACTGAAACAGTTTTCAGACCTAGCTATAAATAGTTTTGCAGAGAATTTTAAGCACTATCTCTCCATACCAAAAAGGTCTTCAATCATAGCGATCATGAAGTAGAGATCTTCCAAATATTGAGAGGCCCCTTTTTTCTGGTTCGTCGAATAATACTTCTGAATTTTGTTAATTTTGAAAATAAAAATTACAACTACAAAATAAGCTGATATTTGTAGGATGTAGTGTTTTTCACGATGCATCTCTTGATATACTTTATTTTTTCAAAATAGTTTAATAGATGACGCAAAAATTAAATGCAGTATTTAACTTTATTTCGGCGCTGGGAGAATAGTCTTATATGCATTTATGCAAAAAAAGACAGAAATATAACTTTTGAAGGGGTCCCCAGAAACTCATCTTCATTCGTCTCACAGTCTTCAAAAGAGTCAAAGGACTACTTGTGCTGCTTTTAATTATTCTATATTCCTGATTGACAATCACTCTTCACAGAAAGCTGAAGTTCGCTATAAATGGCTATTATGGATTTGCACTTTTAAACATGCTCTCCTTTTTCTAAAAGAAAGATAATTTCGGTAAGACCAAATGAGACTCTGTATAGATTTCGCATTCGAACGTGTCGGATTGTTCATACTTTGGTAACTGGCTAGATTCACAGGCGCCACTCACTACTCGCCGCTCCAAAGCTGTCCCTATCTATCATATAATTACCCGTGTGCTACTAAAAAGTATCGAAAATTAATTAGCATTCCATCAGTATCTCATAGATAAAATTATCCGCTGCCGAACATCTGAGGCTATTTTCTTAATCAAAAGGCTTAAAGGCCTACAAAAACTTTCAATATATCGAAGCTCATCATTTAAGATTGCTTTCCAGTATGTAACTTGTGAATGAATGCATTTTTGGATTACTGGCCTTTAGTATGCGACAGTCAACCGAGTGTGCTTTTACTTTTTCGTAATCAACTCTTCTATATAGCCCTCCTCTCAGGTGCGGATGAAATGTTTTCTTCATTTCTGTCACGTCCTTGCCCCTTCACCCCTTATCCAGCCAATCTCGAGCCTCAGGATCCCTCCCAAATGACGTTTCATGAAGTTGCGAGCATTTTCGCAAAAAAAAATGTTCTTTCGACCTTTGACCCTGACCCTCACCTCCCCCTCGACCAAGATCTAAACTCAACACCCCTCCAAAACCTTTCTTTCGTATGACCCTCCTTTCAGTCGAGGGAATTTGATTTTTCAGGAAGGTTAACGAATACAAAAGAGAGTTAATTAAGACTTTTATCAAGATGTTTTTTTTTCTTTTTGAAATTTGCAACAGTATCTTTTAGTTTACACTACGACATATAAATTAATTAACAAAAGAAGGTCACACCGAGAGGTATGTGTTAATAACATATTCTTGTTGATATGAAGATATTTAGTAATTCCTTATATATCAAAGCTGTGCTCTGCAGATGAAGCGAAATTAAATCTATAGAAATATTGAATAGTTGAGTCGAAGCAAGAGATAATATTGAAAACAAAAGAAATCATAGTAATTTGAAAATAGAGGTTCTGCTCTTTCTCTTGGCAAAACTTTTTTTCTTCTTTTTTTTAATGTTTCAGTATAGATATTTGAAATATGTAATAGAATCAGATCCTTGTGCCAGGTCGTCTTTAAGCTATATAAATCTCGGTTGAGCATTTTTAATCCGTTAATATGTTATCCTTTTTTTAATTTTCCTAATGTAACAACGCATTTCTTGAGTCTCCGATAGATTATTAGAGTAAGATAAGTTAATATTCCTACATTAATAAGAATACATACTTTATCAATGATTTGTTGTTGTTATTTGTAAAAAGAAAATTAAATGACATCAACAAGTGTATCTACAACTAGTGGAACATCAGTATTAACAGGAATCTTTGCTGATGTACGAGTACAACTTACTCGATACGTCTATTGTCCATTATTTATTCTTGGTAATATTGGTAATATTCTCAATATTCTTGTATTTTCTCGAGAACCATTGCGTACAAGTGTGTGTTCTATCTATTTTCTTATCGTATCTATTGCTAATCTTGTTTCAATCAACATTGGTCTTTTAACAAGAATATTATCCACACTTGATGTACCTGATCCATCTCGTAATGTAGCTTGGTACTGTAAAGGTCGTGCCTATATATCAGGATTATCCTTAACAATTGCACGCCATTTTTTATGTCTAATTGCCATTGATCGGATTTTGATGACATCAACTCGTGCTTCAATAAGGCAATTAAGTTCTTTCAAAATAGCAAGATGGATTTTACCAATAAGTTGTTTAAGTTGGGCAATTTTTTATATTCATACTTTGGTCGGTTATGAGAATAATCGTACTGGAACAAGTTGTGGTCGACAAGCAGGCTTTTACAGTACATTCACAACTGTATGTACCATATCTATTGATGCAATCATACCTATTATTATTATGACAATATTTACTTTACTGTTGATGAAACAGATTCGTGCACTACGATTACGTCGAGAGAGAAACGCTGTTATTACAATAAGACAAGTGACTACTGTTAGATCACAGATGAGAACTACTACGACAAATGCAATTAGTTATCAAGATGGTAGAAGTCAAGATTTCAATGGTCATAACACAGAACGACGAAGAGAAAAACAGTTAACTCGACTTTCATCTGTACAAGTTCTCATCTATATTATATTCAATTTACCTAATGCTGTTTATGTTGTTTACATGTTGATTGTAACTAATGAAAAGAAAACAGCTGATCGATCGGCAATCGAAAGTTTTACTAGTTTATTCGTATCCATCTTAACTTATATTTATTGTACGGTAAGAGTGTTTTTCGAACTTTTTGAAAAAAAGTATAAAGACTTCATGCAATATAAAGTTATTTATTTTGATTTGTCACCTTCAGTCATCTGTATAATCATGTCAAAAAAGAGATTTATGATTTCTGAAAGGCTCTCATAATTTACAGCATGACATTATTGTTCTCTAAGAACATTTTTCTTCAAAAATTAATTACCAGAGTTATAAAGAAATAGTAGACTTTCATAGTTTATATTTCTTACTGAAGAAAATGTCAAGGTTTCCTATGACGTAGTTTTATTTCATTTATACAAAACATGATGATATGATACGTAGCTTGGGTATTAACATCCATGAGAGCATAGTCTGAGGAAAAGAATTCAAAATATTTAATTTAGTCATTTTTCCTTACAAGTCAAAGATTTAAGTGTATCTGAATATTACACTCTCATCTATTCTTTTAAGATATCATTGAAACAAAAACAATGCGATAGACATATTTTTCAACTCGTTCGAAAAAATTTCAAATAGTTTCTTGATTTTTAGCTCAATTTTTACATCTACACTTTATCATCGGCAACATATCGAGCGAAAACGAAACAAATTTTTCAACAATGTTTCCAGAGGCGACACGTTTGAACATTTCTTTCTCTAAAATAACATCAAAGCTCATTGATTTGCAGTCAACAACAATTCAAAATTACCAAAAATGGTATTTCATTTTTATAAATACATTAAAAAGTGTGAATAGAATGAAATTGTCTTTTCATAGCCTTAACACATTCTCAAAAATAGTTCTAAAAGCGTGTTTGTTGTAATATGAAATAAAACTTCTGAAAAAAAGTATTTGCTTATTTACTTGAGAGTCTGAATGTGCTATATATATATATATGGATCAAGATGATCATGTTATTGGACAGAGAGCTTCTTCTTGATTTGGATCTATGTCACTCTACCAACTCACTTTTCTGCCAATTGGCAGAATTTTGATGATACTCCGACAACTTTTTGAGCCGGCAGAATGACTTTTTACCGTTTTTTTCATTCCGATTTCGGCCCCAACAAAATATGTTCCCGGAATTTCGTAGTCCTCATTCCGTTCTTAGCAGTGATACCCGTCTCAATCTCGCTACTTCAGAAAGGAAGTCGGGATTTTCATCTCAATTCCCATTGGACAGGGCCGGTTTTAGGACAAGATTGGGATCGAGGCAGTCTCGTCACATTCTATTTTTCTTATTAGGACCCAAGCGAAAAAGTCATGAATCATCATTACTATCATACACGGACTATCTAACAATAGCTAGTTTTTTCTTACTATATCATCATGCAGGTAGCTCTCTTTTCTCATCTTATTTACTCCTAATTTCGATAAAATATATGCGCTAAAAACGTACGCTACTTGTCTTCTTAAGAACAACACACACATACATATGGAGTTGATCAACTTGACTGGCATCCGAACATTTATTTATTTGTGTCACATCATCTGCACATGAGAAAAATCTGCTTTTTTACCAGCTATATTGTATATATAATGCTACTGATCTATTACTATTTGAAATCTATATATAATGAGAAATGAGAATTATTCAGTGCATCTTCGCATTTATCGTGCCAAAACGTGCTCCGAATCGTCTACATAAACCTCCAAAGATGCATTTAACAGTTTTCGTTTCTATTGATGTAACGGGTGTATCAGAATAAATGAGCCTCTCCGTATTTTCCATTTCTTTTACTCATAGTTTAGTATTTACAAGAAAATGTTTCGGCAAAAAGAGTCCTCGCCAATATCGCTACAAATCCCTATGTTTTTATTATTTTAAATGATCTCCATCACTCTGTGACATACGATACAATCGATCTGTCCAAGAATTAGAATTTTTAAAAACAATGTTTTCCCGAATTTGTCTACTGCTCTTTTTAATTCTTGGATTAATGTTGCACTAGGTGTCACTTTATTTCAGTTGGTGGCCTTCACAAATCCACTTCAAATACGGTAATCCAATGGGTTGAGATCAGAGCTATTGGGTAGTCAATCGTCTTTATCGATAAATGCTGGAGAATTGTCCCAACCGCTCTTTTTTATTTTATTGATTTCGAACGATTTCAACTGATTCTGATTCATCACATATTCATCTGAGAATCGGTTGAACTTCCAGCTGTTCATTTTATCATAGGAAAATGTTTCGTGAAAGCTAATGATGACATTTTACTTGAATGTACGCTATCAATACATCAGTTTTATCGAAAAAAGTCTACTAAGGAAGACGATAAAAATTCCAAACAAATGAAGCTAGAAGCTTTCATACGGCTTGAACGCGAACTAACCGGTCTGACGATAAGGTACGTACATTGAACCAAAAGCCCTATATTATTCCATAACTTGAATATTCAACATCTATGGAAAGAACTGTCATGAGCACGAATCCTTATATGTTTGTTCTCGTCTAGAGGAACCCTCTATGCCCCCAAAGTATGAGTCTGATATTTAACTTTACCTTTACAAACTTGTTCACTAATTATATATACAAATAATTCAATTTCGTCATGATGACAACTCAATCAGTCCTCAAAACAAAAGAAAGATAAGAAATGCACATGCGTGTCCTAATATTAAAATAGATAAGAAAAGAGAAAAAACGCTTTCAAATCAACGATTATGCACTGTCATTGGATAAGGTATACTGAATAGTTGCTGTTGTATCCGATGACCAGTCCTGTGGTACTGAATATTCTTCACTTGTCTCCAACGATAACGATATATTAACGGTCATTCCTAGCTCAAGAGTAGATCGACCCGTCTGTGAATTCGACAGTAGAGCTTGAAATGGTGCTCGTAGTTCCAATTCATTGCCTTTTACACTTCGAGCATAGCTAATAACACCATTGAAGGGTCCAGGAGCTTTGTCTTTAGTAAAGCAAATATAATTTGTTTTAGTTGAACCAGGTAATTGATACGGTCCTTCTAAACATCGATTCGTTTCATTAGCAGTAGGTTGATGATTCCAATAAATATATTGTGTAAAATACTCATGAGTAGCAGGACGAATAACGAAATAGTTCTCTTTATTTTGTTGCTTTAAATAATTTGTTTCATTATCATTATTAGCTCCATGATCAACAAAATAATTCTGATTGAATGAACCATTATAGAATTCAATTTCAATATTTCCATCAAAACCTGGCGCTGTTGGGTGATAGCCACCGCCATGTAACCAACAACCTGTTGTTGGATTATGATCAATGTTAACTGCGGTCATTATATAGAATCTGCCAGCTGATGATTCTGATGAATTTTTCTTTTGATTAAACTCATTAGATCCGACAGACGTTCTTCCAATGACGCCACCATCTACCACTCGACAGTATATATACAACGATGAATTATCGTGAGCTACTTTTAATTCAACTATATTTACATTTGGATTATAAATATGCTTTGGTACAGTAGATGTATCCAAAGAATCACCATCATGACAATCAGGAAATTTGAATGATGGAAACCATGGACTAACATCATAAACCGTACCTTCCATGTTATCTTCAGGGTCGCTATATGATGGTACATTTTTCCAGTCATCGAAATTACCATCAATTTTCATATGACGATTGATAGGATCAGATGTTACCGTTTCGAATAGAAAATAAATGAATAATATCTTCAGTAAACCACTCATTGTCATAACAAAAAACGAATACTTTAAATAAAACAAAGCACACCTTTTACTTCTATTTCTTTTTTTTTTCTATTTACTCATTCTGAGCTAGTGTTTTTCATGTAGTTTTACCACTGCAATCTTTTCCTCCCGAAAAATAAAACAGAGAGAGTTCACTTTCAGAATAAAGATTTCTCATAATTAGTGCCAGATTTTATTCGATATAATAAAAAAGTAGAACACTTATACAACAGTATCAGATAGCGTATATTGAATTGTTGCTGTTGTATCCGATGACCAATCACGTGGTATTGAATATTCCGCACTTGTTTCTAATGATAATGATACATTTATTGTCATTCCTAATTGAAGAGTTCGTCCACCTGTGTGTTGATTGAATAAGAATCCTTCGAATGGTGCTCGCATTTCAAATTCATTTCCTTTTTCACTTCGAGCATAAGTCAGACTACCATTGAATGGTCCTGGTGCCATATCTCTACTATAACATATGTATCTATTACTATATGGTCGTGGTAGTCGGTACGGTCCATCGAAACATCTTTGAGTTTCATCCGAAGTAGGCTGATGATTCCAATAAACATATTGAGTATAATATGGATAAATAGATGGAAGCATTACAAAGCGATTCTTTTTGTTTTCTTGTTTTAAATAATTTGCTTGTGTGTCATTATTAGCACCATGGTCAAGATAATAATTCTGATTGAATGAACCATTGTAAAATTCAATTTCAAAGTTTCCATCAAATCCCGGTGCTGTTGGATGATAAGCACCACCGTGCAACCAATACCCAGTTGTATCATTATGGTCAATATTCACTGCTGCTATAACATAAAATCTTCCAGCTGATGGTTCCGATGGATTGTTCTTATTGAATTCACTAGGTCCAACTGATGTTTTTCCAATGACTCCACCATCTGCCACGCGATAATATACATATATCGAAGTATTATCATGTGCTATTTTGAATTCAACAATATTTACGTTTGGATTGTAGACATGTTTTGGTGTAGTTGTTGTGTCACGGGTATCTGCATCATGACAATCAGGAAATTTGAATGATGGAAACCATGGACTAACATCGTACACAGTACCTTTTAGATTATCTTCAGGATCACTATAAGATGGTACGTTTCTCCAATCATCAAAATTCCCATCAATTTTCATATGACGATTGATAGGATCAGATGTTACCGTTTCGAATATGAAACAAATGAATAATATCTTTGCTAAAATACTCATTATGACTTTTGAAAATCGAAGAGCAAAATCTATGAAGGCAAACTAGAAAAATGTCTATATATATTGCTATATGCGTGTGCTAGTTTTTATACCTCAAACTCATGATTGAGTCATTACCTTTATGACAGAGGAAAAAGAAGAAGAAAAATAATACGAAACCTACCTGTTAACTTTGCTTGTAAAGTTTTTGTGAGGTCATTCTGACTTACTTCTCTTCCTTTCATCATCATGTCCTTTGCACTAGGGACACATTTTCTTTTTTTCTATGAAACCAGAAAAGAAGTCAAATTTATATAGCGGCTACTCACTCTTTCCGAATAAAATTTTATTCATCACTAATCATTGTGAAATTCAACTTCAAAGTTTTAAACAGACACAGGAGCCGTTGGGTGGTAACTGCCATCATGTAATCAGTAACCATTTGCCGCATTATAATCAATATCAACAGCTGCTATAGTATAATTCCGTCCAGGTGTTGGTTGCGATGGATCATGAGGATCAGAGTCGTCAGAACCAACTGCAGTCTTTCCAATGCCTTCGCCATCTACCACACGATAATTCCCTTTTCTGAAAGAAAGGGTTATACAGCGGCTAAATCCATGGCTCGAAGAGCGTAAATTTTGTTTGTGTCTGTCCTATTCAATCAGAGAGCAGCATTTGTTAAATCAATGAAAATTTATGCAATAATCGTGAACCAAATAAAAGAAAGCTTATTACTAGCGTAAATTACATGAATGTATGCAAGAACACTATGTTTTCTCTTCTTGTATATAGTTCGAGATGTGGTTCCATTGATAGTTACGGACTAGCCGCAATCGGACCTAAAAATATTGAGGTTGAGTTTTCACTTTTCCAAATGGAAAGAATGAAGCAGAGCCCGAAACGAGGCGAGCAGTGTCACCTCGACTTTCACTGATACCAGTATTATTGAGAATTGACCCATGTTCTTGATTCTTTGATTTTATAGACAACAAGTGCATAATATTTCTCACTGAATGGGCAACTTTATTTGTGTGCTCTTTGGTGTAGTTTTATCATTAAATCCCACGTTATTAACTATTAATTTGAAAATCTAAGATCCATTTTTATTCAGATATCTATGAATGGCATATAAATTCTGACTTTTCTCTAAAATCCGCTGAAACATCTAGTAGTTTTTTCTCACACTGTATAATCAATTGCAACACTTTTGAAGGATAGTGAAGATGACTATAGAAACATAAATGATATAAGGAAAGGACTAATAATATTATGTCTTATATCATCTGTATTTTCTGATCGGATAGCAGATAGACATCACTTTCAAATTATTTCAAGATTCATATCTTGTTTTGTTTGTTGACTTATTAGGAATAATAAAAATCATTCCCAAGAGATAGGTAAAAAACTCTCACACAGTGGACACTGAAAGTATCATGAAACTGTTATATTCTTAGCCGTAGTGCCACCAACTGGAACCGTTTTGATCGTAGCAACAATAAACTTAATAATAGAGTTAAAGTTTTTATTAGCGCAACATTTTCATCAATATATGACGAGTGAGATTATCTGTGTGAATGCAGTGTGGGGTATGTTTGATCTATTCTCTGGAATCGACAGTGTCAATAAGGAACAGAAGTCTCAAGAATGAAAGATCAGTGATTTTCAGACTAAATGAATGTGTCTTAGACGCAGTAAATATTCGTATAGAAACTTATTCTAGAATATATTCGTACGCTGAGAAACTGGAAGAGAGTTTGGTAGTAGTAGGGTTAACAAATATATTCTCAATAGTAATTTCTGTAACGTCCAAAAATGTCGAGCCGAGGCAGCAAAATATTGCCTCGTTTCGCTCTCTGGAATGAAGTACTGAAATATAGTATGCGCCATATTTTCTATGAGCTGCCACACATATACAAAAGTACTTGAAGGATGAATACTGATAAGAATATATTTGCATGACAAAGATATGTATGTTTTTTTACTACAGCTGTATGTTATCGAAACGAAAAACGAAAAAGTAAAATATTTGAAGAAAAAATTCAGAAATAAAAGTTATAAAATAAAAGTCGTGAGACGCAATAATTCATTATCTTTTATTTTTTTAATCAGCCACTGAAGCCTATTGATTGCTGTAGATTATCATCGCTCTTTTGTTGTGGTGCCAGACGATATTGTTTGATATAATATCCACGTTCAATCATACGCAATCGACGAGTTTCAATAGCATCGAGTACTATTTTCTCCCATTCTAATGTTGATTCCATAAATCTATTCTTTAACAAAAATCTATTTGGTGCATTCTATATGGTTCTATTCAAGTTTTCAATCACTTTGCAGCTAGTGGGGATAGCTCGATGAATTATGTCGTTCTTCAATAGTTTTAAGTATTGACATCATTCTTTTCTCGGTACATATGATTAATAACAAAGCTAACAGAAGAGAAAACGAAAGTCGACGATAACGATATAGCATCATTCATATTTGCTTTTGGCTTTGTTGATGATTCATCGTACTTGACATATAAAGTTTTATCATAACAAAAGCTACGTCAGTCTATTACATTAGCGAGAAAAGATTATTTTTTTGTTAAACGAAATCTAAGCATGGTGCATATATTGTTGGTTGTGTTTGCTCTTGTTTTCCACATTGCAATTGGCAACGGTTCAACTTGCCCGAATCAAGAATGGATAGAACAATCTCTCAAGAAAATCCATGTACCAGGCGCTGCGATCATCGTGGTCAATGCCACTCATGTCCTCTATGAACAAGCTGTTGGCTACAAATCTTTATCACCAAAAGAGCCTATAGATATTGACAAATCCATTTTCTCTCTCGGTTCGATTTCGAAAACTTTTATAGGTATCGCTGTTATGCAACTTGTCGAGCAAGAACTCGTCGATCTTGATGCGGACATTAATCAATATTTATCGGAACCGCAGAGACGCATCTTCCATCCACATTATCCTTCGCATTCGATTACTCTACGCAAGTTACTCTCGCACTCAGCTTCAATCTATGTCAATCGTCAAGCCGAAGATTCCCTTTTTAAACCGGGTGACGAAGCATTCAAAGAATCGCTGGCTGATGTGTGTTTCAAATATGCGAATCCAAACACATCCAACTGGTTACCAAAACCACCTGGCAGTGTGTCATTGTATTCAAATGTGGGCTCGTCACTGGCTGCATTGGTTGTTGAACGAATTGTGAATATGAGCTACAGCGATTATGTCGAAGAAAAAATTCTTAAGCCACTTGGTATTGATATCACCAAAACTGGTGTGCATTTGTCCGATTTTGAAAATCCAGATGATCTTGTCAAGAGTTATGCTTATGCGTCCGATGCATTCTATATTGAACAATGGCACCAGATGATGCCACAATTCAATATCACACAGATCTCGGTAACCAGCATGAAAATCATTAATTGAATTGATTTTAATCGTTTTCTTCTCAGGATAATATTCCCACGTGGCTACATTTTCCATATTTCAGTTTGAGCACCTATCCGGCTGGTCTGTGGCGTATGTCGGCTCGTGCTTTATCCGTATATCTTCGCATGTTTCTCAACAATGGATCGTCTATCCTCCATCCGCGATCCATTGCCGAAATACGAACAGTGGTCGGCTGTGGTGTCATACCGATGTTTACTCCAGAACCGGTTAATAATAATACGATACAACGACGACTAGAATATGGCCTTAGTTGGTATTGGGTAACCACAGACAAAGGTGATCGATACTTTGGTCACGCTGGAGAGTTGCCGGGCATGGCACATGTGATGCTCACTAATAAGAAGAATATAGGTGTGATTATCCTATCAAATGCAGATACGAACGCACCGATTAATTTAACGCAACAGATTTGGAAAACTTACGAAGATATTTATGTGTCATTTTTTCAATGTTTGGACCCCGATCTGGTTCATGCATCTGCATTCCGTACAAAAGGAAATCTTTTTGGACTCTTTATTTCTATTATTCTTGTATTCCGCACTGTCATAGCCTAAATATTGATCGGTATAATTCATGCTTCTGAGCGAAACAAAAAAATAAACAAAACTTGCACAATTAAAAGAGTCGGATGGGAGTGTAAGTGCTGATGTGTATAACAGAGACACTAACGCCTATACCTATTCTTAGGCAAATACTCGCTTTACATTGACTTTTAGTCTCATTTAGAAATGGCGACTGTTGTATAGATACAGATGTCGAGTCGAGATCCGTGATTATTCTTCTCGATGATGAATAATTGGCAAATGAATGGCATTTTTTATTATTAGAATAAGAATTCAATCCTAATACATAAGATAGAATGTTTGACAAGAATGCACCACAAACATATTCTGAACAGGAATTGTTCTAGTCGATAACAGTAGTCGTGACATTGGAAGCGTATACTGCGCTCCTAATAGAACCAATAATAGCTATGACATTTGCACAGATGATAACCAGATTCAGAAAAAGAAAAGTAATTGATATGATCATATTATCTCACAAATATAACGAAAGAAGCCTATGAATAGTACTTGTTATGGAATGAAGCAAATAATGTATATGTGTATATTTTACAATTTCTTTTTCTGTTGAGTACGCTGCACAATTGTGCTTTTTCTACCTGAAACTCCGAGAGTCAGTTTAACTCAACTAGACAAATAAAAAAAGTTAACGCACTATATATTCAGCCTGTCCCTGACACTACCTAACCACAGTGCAATTATTAAAGCAAGCGTTTTTTATTAGAATATTGTTCTTATATTTGGGAAAAATCCTTCTCTACAGAAGAGAAAGTAAGCAAAATTTGTTATTAAAAGTTTTTCGTGTGTCTATCTAAAACAAAAGAAAAAAATCACAGAAGTAGTTTTTCTCTTTCATACCGAGTCTAGCGTCTATTTCTCAATGTAATGTCAAACGTTCACTGGCATTGCTTTTGAACTGAATAACGCTTTTATTGATCGCATGAAATTGATCGTTGATCCCGTTCAAGCGACTAGTTGATTCAACGATATTCATTAGCTTGATTTCCAGGAACTTTTTGCCCGATTTGTATTTCACTTCTGTTTTGGATTCATTGGAGAGCTTTTCCGTAGTTACTCTGATGCCCACTACAAAAATTAACATAGAAGAATGTGTACAAAATCCGGATATACTTTCGATACGGCTGCACTGTTTCGAACAGAGTATTAGTGTAATACTACAAGACCTTCAAAGAATTTTTCAGACTACGATAGATGTCTCGAGCCTCGAATTTATTCTCTTCGAATGTGATCAATCTAAATCAGAGCGTTCTACTTACTGTTCAATGAAAGCGAAGGAATGTGCTGTTTGTAATAAAAAATATGTGTGCAAAAAGAATTCAGGAAAATTGATCAAAATAGATGTTATATTCGACACTCGTATCATTATACTGATCGGTCATACGCCAATTACCTTTTCTGCACCATAAACGGAAAAAATATTGATACTATGCGCATCGAGTTTGAATCAGTGTAAAACTACACGAAAGGAAAAGTAGATGGCAAGAATGATAGTGTCTAATGGACCTGTAAGTAGGACCGGTAGCACGTCTTATACTGTAGTCAGCTGAGGTTCGTTATACACTTCGAATGTAAGTATTCGTGTGGTTTCCTACGCTATGATAGCAAGAGCAAACATTGTTTTCGAATAAAAGGTAAATTTTGGTTTTATTATTGTTCAAAAAAGTCTATACAACTTAAAATTATGCAGCAAAAGTGATAACAGCAGTTACATACAGCTATGCATTTTTCAGCTCTTCTGATTTTCGTTGTTGTATTCGTATGAGAAGACCGATCGTCATCCAATTTAGAAAATGGTTGTTCTATCGTTGTGTTCATTTGTGTTGCGGGGTCACGTTGATTTAATTAAACAAATAAGTAAGTGAAAACATTCTCAGAAGAAAAATTTCACTCTCATGCTAATGAAAAACACCATATAATGTAGTTTATTTCATGCTTATTTTTCTGAAATAAAATGAGTGGAGGTAAAAACGTAGGTGGAGTTTTTGACAACACAAACGATATTCATATTTGCGTATCTCTTGATATAAGTGACAAGAATACTAATCAATAATTAACTACATATTTGTCTGACATTATCTTACATCGATACTTTCAGGCCATTCCGTTCAATCATGGTTACCAGTCGCTTCTATGAGCCATTTTTTACCTGGATACCTATCCATACAATCAAACAGATAGCCAAGTTTGAAATCACATGTGCGGTTGATTTCTTCTTTATTTAAACTTACTTTCAACGCGTTAATGTTACCTCACAAAGGTTTCGGTTTTCGAATACCAACAATGGGAAAGATATACGGTTGTTTCACCATAACATAAGCAAGTGCACTTTGGCTTAATGCCACAATCGTCGCTCGATCTTGTTCGGATGGACCTAGGAATATTTGGGTATATAACATAAAAAACGCTCCAGAATCATTATTCATTAGCTTCGAGCGGCCAAATAGATGATCTTCCTATCTCGCCAGCCGTCTCCATGTCTTCAATTTGTTCTTGCGTTTTGAAATTGCCTCGATCTAATGCTCCCCGTGATGCAAAAATCATTCCTTCATCTCGTATCATTGGAAGAATGCCTCTTTCTCATTCCTTTTCTTTTGATAAGACGTCGATAAACTTTCTTTAAAAAACGGTCAAGCTGACCATAAAATAGAATATTAAGAGTAATTACGCTGCATCTAGCAATACACAGCTTGTCCACGGAGAAGGGTGATTCCGTCACGCTGCTCTGAATGAGCGGAAAATTGATTGTAATTGTCCGAAACCAGGTTTTGTTAAGCACAATTGAATGTTCAAAATTATGAGCTCCTGGGATCCTAGGGTTACTTTCCTTATAAATAATTCAAAAAATACAGCGTGACGGAATCACGTTTTGCGTGGACAGGCCGACATTAATGTTCAGATTACAAAAGCACAAAAAATAAAACGCGTTGATGATATTGTTTATGCCGAATTTGTTCGTTCTCGACAAGAATCACATATCAATCATCGACAGCACCGTTTGTCAACAAACATCTTATCGATGGGTATTCCGTCAACTATTCATTGCGTCAAAAATCAATCTTTTAACCGTAATATATTATTATTTTATTACCTTTTGTCTTTATGCTCGTACGTATATGTAGTTTATCAATAAATTATGAGCATTTTCGTATTAATTGGCTAACGTTTCGCTCGCTGATAGGCGTAGTATCGGTGAATCAACCTGTCCTGCTATATATACAGGATCCTTTTCCTTCATCATGGCAACTATAGCACGACTATCCTCAAGTTTAGTAAGACGACAAAGGGAAGGCGTGTGGCTCCGTACGATGAATATATCTACACATTAAACCAGAATCATGGGAAAGTGAAGTACTGGCGATGCGAAGATCGCATCTGTTCTACTTTTCTTCATAACGACGAAAACATCAACCACAAAGCGCACTCGGGCACTCAACGGTCATCTACCCTCACCCACCCATCGATAATAATGTTTATAAAAAACTTAACATCCTTTCCAGTACAGTTTCAATATACGCAGAAATCCAAATCTGAAAATTTCTGCTCGAACTGAGGCTAAATACGTGTGTTGACATCTTTAACCGTACAATCACCCTAGATAAACAATGTTAGAAATACTAGTACAAAGTATGTGAGGAACTGGTATGCACTTATTGAGCGAACATTTGAACCCGACGGAGTTGTTAAGTTAATATCTTCAAATGGTTTTGATATATTCAAGTACATTATCGAATATTCTTGCTCTTTTTCACCATTTCCAACAAAATCTATCGTCGTTGGAAATTCCTGGATACAGTTTGGATCATTCCATTCAGATGGAAATAAATTTGGAAATGCCCATGAACAAATAAGTTTTAGTGGACATTTATAATCAACTACTGTTGTAAGAATAGCGACATGGCCAACCAATGGAATAGTGTAAAATGTTCGTGATTTACGTGTCATTGTTGCAAGATGAGTAGCATAATCAAGATGTGTTGCTGGATCGAGTTGACCTGATAACATTAGTACGTTTGCATTAATGGCTATTCTGTGATAATATTCATCTAATGGATACTTAGGCCATACAGATCGTAGAGATGTAAACAGTTTAAAATTTTCAAGAGCCATTAATGTTGAATTATGCCAAGCGGATAGTGTTCCTTCGTCGACTTCTTCTTCATCTTTACCTAACCAAAGTTCTGATTGAATTATGTTAAAACCGAGTACAAGAGAATCGTAAAGTGCGGGCGGAGGAGTTGAACGACTTTCGCTTAACTTTTCTGTTCTTTCAAGAGTAGCTTTGAAGAAAAAATTCAGTATTTTGACATCATCAGAATTACAACGATTTAAACGAAAGATAACGGCTGGTATAACAGTACGACTATAAAATGAGCGGCTCGATGACATCAAACCACGAAATAGACCTCGAAGCTTATCGCTAGTTATATGATATTGCAAAAGATGATCATTAATACATGGTTGGTTGTTTTGATCTACTTCCTTAAGTATCCTAGCTAGCATTATTTGAGGTGGTTCATGGACAGGAAAATATCGATTACATTCCGGTTGAAATTGACAGTAACCTAAAAATCGCGAAGCAACTAATGATGTCCAAAGATCATAGCGACTCATAGAAAACAGTTGTGGATGCATAACACCGTCCATAATAGCTGACTGAACCATATTTGGATAGATCTGAAGAAAACGATCGAGCCATATGGTTCCATAACTCAAACTATAGACGGACACGCGACCAGAACTGACAGATTGATAAGAATGAATTTGAACTGACAAGTCTTGAGCTGCTGAAGTAATTGAAAATTGATTTAAACCATCTATACTCCATTTTGAAGTCAAATAAGAAATACAGTCAATGGTTAGATTCTGTGATCCATGATCATCACAAGTCAATGGAGTTGACAGTCCAACACCACGATGATCAGGAAGTATAACAGTTATACCGTAATGTGCTGGAAAAAGAATTGGTATATATTGAATGGCCGTCCAACCGGATGAACCTGGGCCACCTGTCAGAAAGAAAAGAGTATTGTTCGTGGTATGATTCTTATTGGAAGGAGTGAGACGTGTCATTGATATAGAAATCTTCGTTCCATTTGTCTTGGCATAATTGAGAGGAACTTTGAGTTCACAACAATCAATTGAGTAATTTGCAAGAGGTGGAATTGCATCGTCCACATTGCAATTAGACCATTGGCAACCATTCAATGGAACATAATTAATCGCTCCAGCTTTTGCCAGTTGAAGAGTAAGAAAAATAGGAAACGTGAAAACAACTAACATGAATACAGAAAGTCCTATGAAGCTGTCGATAAGAAGTAATATGAATCATTTGCCCTTGTTTTAGATGCGCTTTTAAAGATTCCGTTTGTTTATCGATGAGTCATGTCAAAGAATATAGATAAGTACATGATACGAAAAACGAAGTCGTATGACGTTATATGAGATAATATTTCTTTTATCAGCATGAGGTGTATGTGTGTCAAATGAATCATGATTGGGATTTCATTACATGGATTTAGACCACTACATGCGAGAATCTATTCAAAGAGTTCGAACCGTGAAGACAAAAAGCTATATTGGAATGCTCTTAAATATTATCCTTGTTAAAACTACTTAAGTAGCTTTTAACATATTTCCCATAGCTGAAATAGGTATGTATCAATGCCAAAAACATGGTTTTGGTACAATATTGAGTGTAATATTTAAGTTTTGATGTGCTTATAGAACTATCGAAGGAGCCTTTGCATATCAAATAGATTATTTTTAGTCTTTATTGATTCTTGTATTGGTTAAAATTGGAAAGAACGAGGGTCCCCTTCAACTTTTCGTACGAATAACTATAATTGTGTTGATTTCGCCTACCCGAATATATACCACGTTCTTTCGCAAAAAATGTGATTAGAGAAGAAGAAAAGTCGTGCAACGTGGTGTTATTTTAGTGCAAGGACAGAATGCAGAAAAAAAATCAATAAACTTCGTCGTCTATGTATATAAGAAAAGGTAACGAACATAGACACCCGCGTGACAGTTATAGTAAGCAAGCTTATTATACAGTATTTTTTTGCGATTACCATGAAACAACTTTATAAACTTCTGAAATCGTTGGATAATATTTACATTATTCTACTCTTGTGGTCTTTAACGACCATTAATCTCTATTTTCTCGCGAAACCACTGAACGATTATACTATTTCAGCCTCCTTAACCACCATACCAACAGTTCTTGACACAATGACTTATTACACTGCTGATGAAGGATACCAAGTGCTATCGAACCTGGGTGAAGGTGGACGTAATGCGTACCGTTTAGTCAATTATGTCGATTTTGTTTTCCCATTTCTAATGTTTTTGTCAATAAGTTCATCAAATATCGCGTTTGGAAAAGGGCGTTACTATCTAATTGCTCCATTGGTCTGCATGGTTTTTGATTATCTGGAAAATATTGCGGAGAGATATGTTTTGGAAATTTTCCCGGAACGAAATGATTTTGTTATGAACTTGGCTTGCTACTTTGGACTAGTGAAGATGTCAGCTGTAATCGCCTCAGTGAGTCTTTTCACATTCAATGTCTTACAATGGTTTTGGAAACGACGAAATTACTCATTGGAAAAGCAACAACGACAGAAATCTCAATAGACTTAAACATCCAATGGATACTTTTTAGTGATGTATTGCTCGCTTTTTCTGCGAAGTCAGAGATTTTTTTACCGTGATTAAATACTATAATCGTTGAGAACCAACACAGACAAAAAGTGAAATTATGTTCGGTAACGAAAGGCTTACAAACATCTCATGTTGTAGTGCTTTGATCTATCTGTAATCTATAATCGTAGTGAAAGTTAAAACGATTTTTTGAAAAGGAGATTATAATATGTATGTAATATTGAAATCGCATAAATTCTGTTTCGATATTTGATTTCATCCTTGACGCTACTCGATGTCACGTGATCATATAATCAGCTTGTGATTTACTCTACAATTTTTTCTCGAAAAGCGATCTAGACGTTTCAACAATGGTAATATGCATTGAATTCTACAGAGAAGCCTTAGTTTTCTCTTTTTTTTTCGTTAGTCAATATTTGATAGGCAACGTGAGATTTCATACCATCTTGTGAAGAGAGAGAGAGAAAAAACCATCCCCCTTTCCGCTCGAAAAAATATTTGTCGGAATGGTTGAATGAAAAACGACAAGACTATTCATGTCATCATGTATTACTGATGATGCACATACAACATTCGCATTGCTTTTTCTGTGATTATTCTTCAATTAATCGGCATAAGAAAAAATATCTTTTCGTTTGGGCTCTATTTTCAATCAAGCAAGGAGACATATTAAACAATTTATGTTTACCAGAATTCTCCCTGATTTGACTGATTTTCTCTTTTTACGTCTAATGCCGAACTTCGGTCCATCGCGGCAGATAAACATCTGCCAAACTAAATTCATGATATTCATGCTGACACTACATTCATGCAGAAATCAAATAAAAAATATCGTTCATTTTCATATTTTTCACTCCTGTCAGAATATGTCTACAATCAACAGCTCTAATAACGATGGCAATGCTTCATCCGGAGATTCAGAAATTTCTCCACCGCGTGTGGCTCGTTTCTGGTTTCTACTTGTAATCGATGTTCCGTCTGTCGTCTGCACTTTCTGTATCATTATCCATATCGTCACCAATCGAGCTCGGCGACATGCATTACAGAATCATACGATTCTCGTTATCCTTCTCATAAATCTACCGGTTCAATTGCCGGATATCATTTTGTATCTCAATGCTTATCAGAATGGTCTTCTGCAACCCTCGAGTCCAGCTGCTTGTCTCACTTGGTGGTTTATTGACATTACTTTTTATAACGGAGGTGTTATTCTCTTGGCTTGGATGGCCATCGAACGGCATATTTTAATATTTCATTATCGATGGATAATGAATCGAAGAAGACGTTTTCTTTTTCATTACCTTCCTCTGGTTGTTCTCGTCATATACACTCTTGTCTTCTATATCATCGCCTTTTTCTTTATACCTTGTGAAAATGGGTATGATTACACAGTGCCAGTATGTGGTGAGTCTCCTTGTTATCAATCCTATGGTGTTTTTGGCGAATGGGATTTGTTTGCCAATAACTGTGCACCAATTATATTGGAGAGTGTTGTTAGCATTGGCCTTATTCTACGCGTTCAATGGCAGAAGCGACGTCTTCGTCAATCTGATCAATGGCGGAAGCAACAACGAATGATTATCCAACTATGTTTGGTGTCCGGTGTCAACATGTGTATTAATCTGCCGATCTACCTCATTACGTTCGCTCATCTATGCGGCCTACCGTCACAGTATGGCGTTCAAGCTAGCAGTTATTTCTATTTTTTCAGTTATCTCGTTACGTTGCTGTTTCCGTTCACATCTTTAAGTCAATATCCCGAACTACGCAAGGTGATCAAAAAGATTTTTTGCATGTCAGCAAGACAACTGCCTTTGGGATCTACTGTCGTACCTGCGAGAAGAGCAGTACCAACGGGTGCAGCAGATGTCTGAGCTCAACAGCGGAGAACCGATCAACATGCTTTTAAAAATTTATTTAACTTGAAACCATGTGTAGATGTTGTTTAAGTTTGTGATGCGAAGGTGAGGGTGGCAGGTAAACATCCTCATTTTCAAGAATTTACCAAATAAATGATCGAATTCATACACAATTTACGTGAATAATATCAGCACATGTAAAAGGATTCACATTGAATCTCATAATATTAAAAGGTGTTTTACTGTGAAACTTGATGAATTTAGTCATTTAAACTAATCAACTGCTTGACAATCAAGAGATCGTTTAAGCTATCATTATAGCAACATCAGATTTTTCAATCGCGATGAAATACATATGATGTGCAAGATCAAAATCCACAGTAGAATTATTTTTTAACAGAATATAAAATTGGGCGATCTTTTTACACTCTCTTCTTCTCAATGCAGATTGAATACTCCTACACTGATATTTTGACTTTTTAGAAAAGATTTCTATTCATCAGTGGCAGTATTCATTTCTCTACATTTTAAAATAATACACACATCTGTGACTGAATACGAGCTAGATGTATTTCTAACTCAGACAATCTTCTCTTTCACAATCAATTTTATACGAAGATTTGTTTTCGAAATACCTATTGACATTCAAACTTGAGTTAGATATTTGTTTCTAACGCCAACCATTAACGTCATCGATCGAAGTACGAATGGAGGTATACCTTTTAGTTCGAATTGGATGCAAGATGACAACTTCTTAACGCCTTCGTTGTCTTTCTGTGTATCCCCCGTGAATGATCACTTGTTATCAATGACAATACTAGTTGGAAATATTGTTCGTCTCTTCGAGAAGCACATATCGTTGACTCCGGTGAAAAAGTAATAACACCGTCTAAAACAACTCTGTCAGCAGAAGACAATTCGATTTATTTGATTTCTTTGCCACAAAATCCAGATAGTGTCAATGAGTTGACTACTACTGAGTCCGAAGACGGGTGCTCCTTTGCTTTTTGTTCACGACGGATTTGCTCATAGTGCTTACCGAAGATTACAAGTGGCCGAGTTACACTCATCTTATCACTGTATACTGATGGATTCACGAGGACAAGGCAGAAGTACGGTGTCATCACATGGGATTACGTATGATCCGACCGTTCCTGATGTCGTTGGGTTACTGGATCATTTTGGTATTCAACGAACACATTCGGTGACTTGGAGCGATCATCGGTCTTAATGTGGCAATGAAATATCCAAGCAGATTGAATTCACTATTTGCATTTCCTGCGAATTATGTTCCTTCTGGGTGTGAAAGATATTTCGAATTCGACTGTTTTTACGACTTTCCTTCGACGATCTCAAGTTGAATACGAATTCATGAATTCAGCAGCGAATTATTCAAATTTGTTCAATTATTTAACAATAATGTGGGCCACTTCTCCTTTCGAAATCAACCAGATACAATGACAAGTTGGATTCCTCAAGCAGGAGAGTTGATTCTACCCGAACGAGTCATTTCACTTTTATACAGGATTCGGAATTTTTCACGACGACTTTGGAGAGTTTTCTGATAGAAACCAACTGCACACCATGTACGAACACAGCAACAGTATCATCCGCTGTGGGTCTTTTTCATTGTTGTTTCTTTAACATATTTACATTTTAATTTGTCATCTTTTCTAACTCAATACACTCTTTCATCTAACTGTCCTTTTTCAATCGGAAAAAATACGCAATATCTGTTTGGTGATGTTATATGATCGCTGGTTTTATTTTAAGTAGTTTCAAAGCTTTTCGTCACTCAAACACACATAAGTAAATATGAAAAAAATCAGTAATGTCTCAGTTTGATCTTGAGGGTGAATCACTCAAGCCTAAGAAAAGGAAGAGATTAAGTAATGATGTCATACTTCGAAAGAAATCAACTTACATTATGTTGAATGATAACATGAAGTTCACCGTGTGAACCAAGACCTAAATGAGCTGGCAATTTGACCCAAGCGTCATATGGACCCTTTCCGAATACATGTTTTTTCAAATTAACCGTTTTCGATCCAATTGAATCCCGACCGACGACGTCGTCATCATAAACATGCAAATGCAATTCGTCCTGATGTTTGCGCAAGTTACTAAAATAAGAAGGTGCAGAATGAAAAGAGAACATTGAAACAAATCAGCAAACAATGTAAAAGTTTCATTCCATGTTGGATTGTTGGTATCCTTGACGGTCTTTGTGCGTTGTTTGTAATCTTACTCCAAATAAAGTTCAACATACGCATCATCTTTACCGACGATATCCTTGTCTTTTAAATTGCGACCTTCAACAATAGTCACTTGTAAAACTCCGTGACTCATTTTTTTTGTTGGTTATCGAATTTGTTTGTAATACTCTACAAGAGAAAACAAGCAAGGTATGCTTATGGAGATACGCACTACACTGATGCGGGACGAACAGAAAAGTGGCGTTATTTTATGAAAAAAAGTTACTTTCTTCTCTAGAAGAGAAAAATTATTTTCATGCCATTTTTGTTGCTTCTATGCTTACCCGAATTATTTTTGGATGATGACTTTAAAGTGCGTAAATAAGGATAAGAAAAATACGGTACAGCTATCCTGATGCGAGAAGGACGCAGACGAAGTGAAGTGAGGATATTTGCCTTCAATCTGCATATATTGTCATTTTCTCTTACATCTCATCTCACTGTAAATCTGTGCAGATTTGCTTGAAGGAAACGCGTTTCAACTTTGTTGTTGTTTTATTGATTAAAACAAAACAAACGGAAAACGAAACGCTAACGAACGAACGAGAAGAAAAAAAACGTTCTGTCTAGGTTGGTTGTGAAACACACACACCACGAGACAGAGAGAACAACTCGTGGGAAAATCCACGAAAGAAAAGAAGAGAGAGACGAAAACACTCGGACATATATATATATGTGCACGAGCGAAAACGAGAGAAAAACAAATGCGTCATAGAGACGCGTGATGAATGTACGCAGACACTCTACACCTCCCCTTTTAATTTTACGATGGTGAGTAGCGATCGGGAGCTCGACGAGTTCGAGTTGGATAACGTGGCGATGACGACGGATGCAAAATCGCTGGAGGTGGTGGTGCTGGAATAGAGTTCGATGAGAGTGATGGCGATGAAATCGGCGCAGTTGTCACATCTGTCGACATCGGTAATAATTTATCAGGACTGATATCATCCGGTAAACTATCGATATCTGAAAACGATTGATCCGTGGAGTGTCGCGGACGCAGCTGATTTTGGTGCCGCTTAATACATTGACCATCAGCTAAAGTAACTTCGTACACCATTGAACTAATAATTCGTGTGATGACAGCCGTTTTCCATTGAGAACGGTGATTGAGTAGTGGTTTCAGAGCCCAAACCGACTGTCCGACTACGTACTTGGATTGTAATGGTGCTGTCGGTGAACTAGAAATCGGTTTCATGCGTTCGAGATCTGTACGAATTGTATGTTGAAACATCAGATTTGCCGGAGAGACACCAGTCGACGTGTGCGGAGACCAACGATAAGTGCGAAGAAAATTTCGTAAGGCTATGTGCTTATCGGTTTCTCCAGATTGTAGTTGCTTCTTCATGGTATCCTTAAAAGACCGAACAAAACGTTCAGCGAGCCCATTGCTTGCAGGATGATAAGGTGCGGTGGTCACATGTGTGATACCATATTTGGAATAAAACTGGCGCATTGCGTAAGAATTGAATGGCGGACCGTTGTCGGAAACTAAACTGTCTGGAGGCCCAAACCAATCAATAACGTGGTCCAACACTTTCGAAAGATTTGAAGCCGAAGTGTCATTCTGCATGTCAGCCACGAATGGAAATTTCGATTTGGCATCAACAAGTAACAACCATTTTGATCCCCAAAATGGACCAGCGAAATCCATGTGGACACGAGACCAGACATGGTCCGGTTCAGGCCAAGACTTGTATTCGGATTTCGGTAAAGGCTTCAGTATCGAACAAGTAAAACAAGCGTTCGATAGGTTCAAAATGTCTTTGTCCATGGTTGGCCACCAGCAATGACTACGAGCTAATTGTTTCATTTTCACTGTGCCCAAGTGCGACGAATGCAGCATTTGAAGGACACGAGGTTGTAAATTGTGAGGAATAATAACTTGGTTATCTTTCATCAGGCAACCATCAACAATCGAGAGTAAATGACGATTATTATAATACGAAACGAGTGACGGATCGAGAGATTTCGGTTTACACGAAGACCAATCTGTGGAAACGAATTGTTTGATAACTGCTAATATCGAATCAGTTTCCGTTGAGGTTGAAATTTCGTGCGCGCTGACTGGACAGTCAGTAAGTAATTCAACTTGAACAGCATGGACTTGGTTCGCATCATCATCGATAAAAGAATCATCGGGTCCGATCGGTAAGCGCGAAAGTGCATCAGCATTGGCATGATGATGAGTGGATTTGTAATGAATAGTGTAATTGTAACCCATCAGANCGTCACTTGTTTTTCAGGCCTATGCACATTTTATTTCAGCAATGTGGTATTCGCAACATGTATTTGCACAACAGAAGCTTGTCAAATGTTACTATGATCACTTTCTCAGAATTGCGTCAATAAAGGCATAACGATTGCTGTTTGACCGTTGTCATATATCTCGTAAATCAGGAATACTGAATATGTAATTAGTATCAGTCGTCATCAACAAATGACTTTTTAGTATAGATGAAAAAAATCCCATCTTGAGGGTAAGAATGTCAGCAACGGATACAAATGCTCCTATTCTCAAGATCTTAGAACACTACATTCTCCTTTAAATAATTAGATAATGTATATTAACTTCGAAGATTTGAACAAAAGTTACAATCGGTTACCCTTCACAATATTTTCATGCGCACAAATTGTTACAAGTGTTCAGAATCAATTTTGTACCAATACCTTTCTAGATCAGAGCATCATAGTCTGTTTTAACTAGATTTATTCGATTATTTTTGTAAATGGACTTCTATCCATGGTCTGATCGATGTTAAGGTTTTTCTCCGTTTATAGGCAGATGTGTAAGATCATCAGACGAACAAAGATTACTATCGGTCGACAGACGAATTCCAATAGAAAGCCAACGACCCAAATGATCGGCAATGCTCATAGATCCACTCATAAGTTTGTGCTTCAGGTTCGTTGTCATCGAATGATTGTACTTTAGCTATGAATATCAAACAAAATGAGAAAGCCTATAGCATCGAATAATCATAACCACTAGAGGTATGGCAGCAATTGAGAGTGTACAGACGGCACTGGGAGCCGTTTTTGTCGGATGACATCGAATATGACTGTGAGTGAAAAATCATAATTTGTAAGTATAGTTGATCGATCTACCTATGTTTCTTTTGTCTTCAAAATGGTCACGTGCTTTGAAGATGCTCAGTTACACGTTGTCAAATACCTGTGTCGTCTTGTTTTATAGAAATGATAATGTGTCAAATGTCCACCAGTCAAGCAGACACTATGGATGCATAGAAAAACCATGTTACTAACATATGTATTGATGTTTTTCATGTAATTTCACCCTTTTTGCCGGAAACATGCGTTGTATGCATGAGTGTTTTCGCTAACCTATTGATTATACAGAGTTAATGAAAACAAAAAAAGCAGATGTGTAAGAAGAAGAAAAGGAGATTGAACATCTAAGTGGATGTGCAAGTTCTCGGTCACACACAGCTTCAGAATGAATATTTATTCCTGTCGATCTGGACATCTTTCACAAATGTCAAATCCAGTTATTGTACAAGAGCAGTGCCATGAGAGACACAGTAATTCTTGTGAACATATATCACATTTATATCCATTCGTTTCGTATGATTCCGTATTGTTCTTTTTACGTTGTTGGCTGTTGCACAACTTGAGCCGATGTCTTTGCGGACATAGCAATTGAATTACACCTATCGGAAACATTATAGATTCTGTCAGCACGTGTCTTCATTCCCTTTCAATTGACTTACTGTTAAGATCGAATTCTATTGGTGTCTAAATGAAATTGTTGAGTATAATGAAAACATTACAGGAGAAAAGAATGATTAACTGACTGTTCTAATTCGTTTAACATCTTCCAAGTCTCGTATGCCTGCTGGACCAATTTGATTGCCACGAAGATGGAGCGTAGAAAGCGTCTAAACGAATTAGAGCAACAGATATGAATCGATTTGACCGAACTTCATGTTACTTGGTTATATTTTAATGCTTCAGCAAGGTGACATGCTCCTTCGTCTCCAATAGCATTCGAATGAAGATATAATTGGATCAGTGTCTAGAATCGTAGTCAACCGTAAAAACTCCACTAAGTACAACAATTACTGTCGATTGTTTGATCGCCGTAGCTAAGTACTGAGCACCAGTATCGGTTATATTGTTTGAAATGAGATTGAGGCATTGTATTCTCTGAAGAAAGGTATGCTAAATATATTCTATGCCAGACAAAAGGGATGTATGGTTTACATTCGCTGTTGGTATTAGAGATGACATGTATTCAATTATCCGATCTCCGACACCGCAACATTCAAGATCTACATCGCGTTCATGCTAGAAAAGGATTATTGATGACTGAAAATAATGAACAATACTGACAAATTACTTCCACATGCAGACTTCCACGGATGATCGATATGGCTTCGCATGCTGGACTCTTGTTGTGTCGTAGTTTCAGATATTGAAGATTCTAAATGAATTGTTAACTCATAGTCACACAAAGAGATGAGGAAAAACAAGTAAACCGTATTGGTTTTCAATGCATCAATGAAATATTGAGCTCCTTGGTATCCTATTAGATTTCTCTGTAAATCTAATGTAGTAAGCATCTATAAAAGAGTAAAATGAACATGTGAAAATATATGAACCAGAAATACTCGATTAGTTTTTAATAGATCAGCCAAATATTTTGCTCCTTCATCACCGATTGAATTGTATTGAAGTTCTAGAATAGCTAAGGCCTATTTTGCAATAAATAAAAATAAATACGTGAAGCTTTATGTTGCGACATACGGAATGATGTTGTAAAGTTTCAGTCAAACACTGTACGCCTTTGCATTCGATCAGATTGCCATTGAAACAAAGTCTCGTTAATGACTAATTGTGAACAAAACAAGAGAAAAGCAATTCATTTAATTGAGTCAACAATATCTACCTTGTTAGTTTTCAAAATAGAAGAAATGCACTTTATTCCTTCATATCCAATTTTACAGTCATCGAAAGATAATTCCGTTAGACACTTCAATCATACAAGCATATATTGAAAAATCAAATGATAGATTAGATTTACCATATGATTCCGTAATCCTCGACCAATCATTTTCGCTCCTTCATGTCCCAGACATCTCGGTATTGCTCTAAATATCTTCAAATCCTACAGGAGAACTAAACTGCAAATGAATGAATAGAAGATTATCTTTATACTTTGTCATGTCGGATATGCACAGATTGCTCTAATGCTTTACACAGATCGCTCCGATTACCTTCTAGATCAAGTTTTGTAAGTGTCTTGAAAAAAAGAACAGTAAGTAAAAAAATGTGTAGAATAGAAAGCAGCCATTACTGTATTTGTTTCCATTGCATCAGCAAGACTTTCGATACCCTTAGTCTCAATTTTATTCGATCTTAAATCCAAGACTTTCAAAGTCTAAGAATGATTCAATCGATGCGATAATTCAAAATCAAAAAGAGACAGCTTACTGTGTTCTCTTTTAGCATATCAGCTATGTATACGGCTCCGATGTCAGTGATGTAGTTGTAGCAGATACTGAGTTTTTCAAGAGGCTGAACAAAGTAAAGATGAGTTTGTGTAAAAATACCAATCAATACTTACTCTGTTAGTTTTCAACCAATCGGTGATTAACTGAACACCCTGATCTGTGATTTCATTGGCAGAGAGTTCGAGTTCNGTGTTCTCTTTTAGCATATCAGCTATGTATACGGCTCCGATGTCAGTGATGTAGTTGTAGCAGATACTGAGTTTTTCAAGAGGCTGAACAAAGTAAAGATGAGTTTGTGTATAAATACCAATCAATACTTACTCTGTTAGTTTTCAACCAATCGGTGATTAACTGAACACCCTGATCTGTGATTTCATTGGCAGAGAGTTCGAGTTCTTCAATAGTCTACATAGTAAATTTTGTATGTGTTGCAAGGTGAAAATAGATGATACTCACTGTATTGTTGTTTAGTGTGCCGAGCAAATATTCAATTCCGAAGTCATTCATCTTCTCTCCTAAGAATGACATGATTTTTCGGGTCTAGTCAATGAGATGTTTTCGAAAATATATCAGAAATAGATTCTATTAACCTTTCTTTTTCTAGTTCGAATAAAAATCATCTCGATAATATCACAACGGACATCTTCATTATCACTAAGACATAGTTTTTTCAGGATCTATGTAAAAAAAAAATAAGATAAATCCGTACGTAATACTCCAAAACAAACTGTATTATTGCGTAATGCAAAAGACAGTGCTTCTGCTCCCTTTTCTCCAATCTTGTTCGATCGCAGATCCAACTCTCGAAGTGTCTATATCAAAAATAACATTATAAATACCAGCAAAGTTCTTCAATAACACTAACGGTATTGTTTTTCAACGCATCAGCAATAAATGTAACTCCTTTGTCTCCTATGTTCTTCGATTGCAGATTCAGTGTGAGTATCTCGCTGTTTCGAAGTTGAAAATCTGCATTCATTGCAGCAGCAGCACACTCGTCATTATCTGTCAGGTCGAAATAGATCAATCTCTGAGAACATCAGATATGAATATATAGTGACGAAATTTGAAAGTTACATGTTTCTTTTGAAATAATTCATAGATTCGTTCTGCAGTTGCAGCACTGATTCCATTTGCACTCAAATTGAGTGATTTTAATGTCTACGAAAAATAAATGAACCAAAGGGAGACGAATCAAAATGCTGAATTACTTCCATATCTTGCAGAATTTCAATAACATGTAATACACCCTGATCTCCAAGATTATTATCCCTCAAATCAAGTTGAATTAGTTCCTGTGTTATCAAATATTCAATCAAATCTTTGTAAAAGAAAATTATTTACCCTTTTATTTCTGAGCGCATTGGCTAAACATTGTGCACCAGTAATTCCAATCTTGTTTCCATTGAGAGTAAGTAAAGTAAGTGTCTATTTTGGAGAAAAAAGCTAATGAAGTAGTGTCAAATCAGAAAACATACCGTGTTCTTCATTAAACTTTCGAAAAGATACCGTGCTCCTTCGTCTCGAATGTCATTATTGTCAAGATGAAGATGAGAAATCGTCTACAAAAAGACTCCAACATCTAATTCGCTCATATATCACAAATGGTGGAAACTTTCTGTATTAGTTCGCAGGAAATCACTGAGATACTGTGTTCCTTTCACTCCAATTTGATTGTCACTAAGTTGAAGGGTCACGAGTGTCTTAATGAAGACAAGAATACGAAGACATTTTCGCTTCGAAAAAGAAGATTACCGTGTTATTTCTGAAGCCCTTAACTAAACTCTGTACACCCTCATCACCAAGCTTATTTCCCCGTAGGAGAAGATGGGAAATAACAAGGGCTTGATTATCTCTTAAAGCGTCACTCAGGTATTTTGCTCCACATGTTCCAATTTGATTGTCATTTAGACCAAGCGTCGTAAGTGTCTTCATACGCTTGATTCCTTCAGCCAGGTGCAACGCGCCATCTTCACCAATATCGTTCCCTCCAAGAAAGATACTCCGAATAACCTACACAATCAATCGTACAAAATATATCAAATGTCTGTTTTTTAGAATTTCACCGTATTGTGTTGTAATCCATCAACCAAGTACTGTACTCCTTTATTTCCGATTCGATTTCCGTCCAAATCAATTGATATCAATGTCTTCAAAATGAATTCGAAATGAAAAATATCGAAATGTCTCTATTACCGTATTCGTTCGTAAAGCTTCAGCAATGTATCGTGCTCCTTCTTCTCCAATGGCATTGTTTTTCATTGTAAAATGTTTGACTGTCTACAGGAATCTCAATTTTTCTCATACGCGATGAAGTTAAGCAATAATTACTTTATTCGTTTGTAATGCATATGCCAAATATTTGATATCGTGCATTTGAATATTTTCATCATCCAAGTTCAATGTCGTCAACGGAGTTGATTCTGTAGCGTCGTTCGTCATTGATAGCAAATCAACGATTGAATGAAACCTTAGCATAATCGAAGAAGCTTGCTTTGACTTAATGCAGCGTATTTGTTTTTCAAAATCCATGGTGCATTGAGGTGTTGTATAAATATTCACCAGATTGTTGTGTAAGTAATAATCACATGTGACAATCCATTGCTTTTCATGCAACCAAAATGGAGTTCGAAAGTGATTGATCAATAAATCCAAATCTTTCGCTTCGCTTCTTTCTTTTAAAGAATAAGAAAAGAAAAAATGAAATATTCTTAGATTGGATAGTTTTGTTTGAATTAAGTCGGACCAATCTGATCCATTGCTAATTGAATCCAACGTTGTTCGATAAGATCTTAGATTGAGTCTGATTAATGACGGTGTCAACGAAAGAAGCAATCCGAAATCCAACATGGATAAAACACTATCACCAATTGTCAATGATAACAATTGTGAACAGTGTTTTGAAGGTCCAGATTGATCCATAGTGAATTTTGCTATAACTATTGTTTGNACAACTTTTTGCAAATGTTGATAATTTTCCGAATGAAAACAATCACCCACTACAATCATTTTCAATGAAACCAATTGATCGATATTGAAAATTGAGAAAAATAATCCAATTTGACTTTGTTGATTTGGTTCGTCATGAAACTTCAGTGCAGTTATACTTTCCGGTCGGATAATTCGTGATATGATTTTCAAATGTAATGATGATATCGAATTAACATCGAGTAGATATCCATTATAACGATTGGTAATATCATAGAATTGTTTGGATATACGACGTAACGTGAAAATAATAAAGTGTGTATCAAGATACTTCAAAATATGATACAATGGTTCGTTAGGTAATATTGATAGGGATTTGTCGGTCATTGTAATATTCAATCTACAAAAGAAGAACATACAGCTGACTATTCCCTAATAGCGGTTTCTTTTATTAATTAACTTATTGCCAACTAGCGTATTTTATGAGAGATAAATGAGATAATAGTGAAATATTTTTATCTTGTTATGATTAAAGATACACGATATATAAGGTTATAGAAGGAGGAAAATTCCAACAACGTCGTAAAGAGGGGAAAAAAATAAAAGAAACATGTATGACATCATCGAACGAAGAATATCAATTGGATCATCTATTGTCAAATAGCCGCGAAGTAGAGCATTTATCACATTTGTGAGTAATAAAAGTAAATTCGATGTAAGTTACTTGTTAGAAGAAAGAAACCGTTCTCTTTTATCTTATTGCAGACTTACATTTTTTTATATATTTATTTGTTTTTGCGGCGGAGGAGAGATAAAGAAAAGAAAAGTAACACGTGTAGCCGAGATATTTCGATTTTGAAATAGCGACTACACAGAAAAATCATACAAACATTGGCAAGCCAAAATCAATTCAAGTTCTAGAAGAAAACAGATAATTACTCGATTAATAAGCAAAATGAATAGATGAATCAATGTAATAATGCACAAAAAAAGTCAAATATTACTGAGAAGCAAACCAATTTTAATCTTTTTGACCAACCTATAAAAAAATGTCTATGAAATCAGAATCTAAATCCTTATCGATAATAACTGAACATTCACTTCCATTAAAAGCATTGATATTAATCCATAGCTTGACAAATCAACTATTTAAACGCCGAATTTCACCATCAATAAATCGTAATAACATAGAAAGTGCGAGATGAATCTTTACGAACAACAATGTCTAAAATGCCTTCACAATTAAAATCTTTGGCAGCCATGGATTTTATTTGTCTAGATTTCTAGCAAGAAGTGAGCTTCTTGCACTCAAGACTTTATTTTCATGCTGAAATAATATATCAACAATGTCTTGTCGATCGCCACCGTTGAAATCATCAATCTCAATAGCTTCTGTATCGAATCTGCTGTCAACAAAACATATTTTTTGATCTTCAAAACTCACATTAATGCACCTGAGGTTAGATCATTCACAAATCGAGTTGTAAATGTCATTTGTTCTAGGAACATCTTTTTCAGGTGGATAGCAATTGGGTGCTCTTACTGCTTCAGTGAAAGATCATAAGTAAAGGTAATTTTTCCGCATACTTTTTATTCGTGATGGTTGACAAGTTCACCGTCCATACAAATCGAAACAACGCATTACTTCATCAAAGATTACAGATATTCATTTGGGATTCTCTACAAAAAATGCTTAATATGAAGGAGACTACCGGAATTACCCGTTGTCAATTAAGACATATTTACATCAAAACATTACACGTTGAAAAGCGGTCGAACACAAAGATATCAATATGCTTCAAGTTTCTTCGCCTGCGAACTTATTGTTTTTTTTTTCGTAAGACATTTATGCCCAGATTGAATCTATTCATCATTTTAAAATGGCAACATTGATCGGTGTAGATGTGAATTTACTATATTTTGATCATGTAAAACTTTTGCATTGGTAGCAGATGTCGGGAGATAATAGTGAATATTTCCTTCATCTGTACAGTTATATGCGGATCATCCTCACACTAGTTGTTTTTGCTAATGGTTGTGTGAATTTTTTCATTCATGGAAGACGCAAAGTTACAGTTTCGAAAAGTATTGCTTGATATCTTAGACCACCCAAGTGATAACGAACGAAAAAAGCTTAAATTTCCTGTCGGAAAGCGATATTGCACGACGTATCGTCCATGATCCGACTAGTGGTGGGACATAAAACGTATTTCAACAGCTCTTTGAGCGATGGAAAACCTCTGATGGAAATTTTGAATATCTGATAGCAGCATTTTAAGCTATCGAGTGTCAGCGGGCAGCACAGAGCTTAATGGGCAAGACAGCTTTTCCTCGTTTCAATTTTAACTATATAGTAATATTCTCTTTGTTTAGAACTTCAAAACAACTCGATGAGAAGCCACACAGTAGTGGAACCATTGTCTGTAACGACAACTATCATTTCGGATAATAGTACACATATGAATTATTCGAACAATATCAATACTGTCTGCTTAGTACGGAGTTGAGACTGAGGGTGAAGGTAAGAGTATCTTTGTTACACCTGTCCTTTCATCTATATTTGCTCTTTTAGTCCCCTCACACCCTCACCCACCCCTTACCATGGTATGAACTGACCTATTGAATATCAATTCATCTCCTCGTACGTGAAATCTTTATTGAAGTAAAATGAAAAAAATCAGGACCACTTACATTAGTCAATATTTTGCAATCTTCGTAAGCAAATGGAATTGCAATTAACGGAGTGTATTTCACTGTAGTATTTGAACATAATCTGTATCTCGTTGGCCGATGTAAATGGACCATATTCATTTATAGCTATTAGATTTGTATATTTAGAGCTGGATTAAAGTTGTTTCTCTTGCGATTAGAGGATAAGGCGATCTATATGTCGGAGAACTTGAAGATGCATCTGATCAATAAATGAAACTTATTATGTATAACAAAAGAAACAGTATAGTATACCTGTTAGACAACTTTGCTTGTTCTCCTTTTGGAAAGAGAGACCAGTTGGTACAGTGATAACTACAATCACTATGGTAAGTATGATGATTACAACAGCGACTTTCGAATAAGTATTCATTGACGATGTTAGGAAAGTGCTTGAACAAAATCCAGAGATGATTGAAATGAGAAGTCAAACTTGTTTTAAGTCACATCAATCATGAGTTGTACGAACAAGATTTTCTGGAATACTTTGTTGATTCTTTCTCAACATGAAGTATTCTTATTATAAATACTGGCAACCAGAATTCAACCTAATAAATGCAAAAGTCACGCCTTGAGTGCTGTCAAAATAGAATTGATCGTGTACAAATGCACAGGATGAATAATCCTTATTGCGCATGATTCTATCCTTAGTATATCGAAATAAGTAGAATTGGCGTTGACGTGTGTATAGCGTCTTCATCCTTGCTCATACTCTCACTCTGGTCGGATTCAACGTCGCAATTGTGTATCTGGAAAAAACAGTTTTATGATCTTTTTCTTCTTATTTGTATTACATGAATCATGTCTTTCTTTATTCTACTGGCACTCAATGTATACAAGTTATCTACTTGCCCTTAACTTTCCATCCATGATTATTTTAATCAACCCGACTGCTAAAGACAAACGTGCATCGGTAGCAAGCTTGCTTCTTATCAGTTCTATAAAAAGCTCTTTAAAATTCAGTTATAGTGCAAACTGCTAAGACGATCGCTTGTAGCAAATTGTTTCAACTATGTCACACGTTCTGACAGCCCATTTACAAAAGCAATTCATTGAATGTTAGTGGAAATCAAACGAGGACGTCTGGTCTTCCAAAGAACCCTAGAAATGGAGTCCCTATGTAATATTGACAGTGCCATCATTGAAGAAGCATTTCAACACGAACTTCCCGAGGCGACTTCGAGAAGAGAGATTCGCAGCCCATGCTATTATTTCTGAGACATCTTTTGGTTTGTTTAGTAGCTGTGACTTCTTAGAAGAAGCTTTCCAAGAGAACTTTGGTCTCAGTTGTGAGGAAGCAGATGACTTAACTCTTCTGTCAGTAATCGTCGAGAAAGCAGCTGATGGCATTGTTAATGAAGGAGAGAAAATAAGCAAACAAAAGCACGCCGAATGAATCGCTCGAAAGCTGCTAAGCATCAAGGAAAGAGGTGGCTGAGAGTTGCGCTGAACTCTATAGTCACGGCTCGTTTCTATTCAGGAGATTAAATGAAGCAATGCGACTTCAGACTGACGAATTGGACGAGCAACATCAGACGTTGTGGAGAATAAAAGCGCGCACTCTCGGTCTCTTTGCTTTCCTTCGAGAGATGCTTCCAAATCCGCGTACTGACAAAAAAATGACTCTCTATCGTGCAGTCGACTTATCCGAGAGTTTAGTTGAACAATATCGCCAGTCAGCTGGTGACAGGTTCCAGGGCTTAAGCTTTCTTTCTAGAACTCGAAGTCGTGATGAAGCAGAATTCGTTGCTGATAATACTCTTTTTATTCTCGTTATAAATGAAGATGATAGCCGTGACGTGGCACCTTATTCAACTTTCAACGAGGAAGAAACACTTATAATGCCGCCTTTCTTTTTTTTTCACTGAATCATGCGAATTTGATATAGTCTTAAACAAATGGATTATCCGTCTTCGATCTCACAGGAGTTTCTAAGCCTTCGTCATGTATGGAAAATAAAAAAAGAACATGTTCGACGAAATCTTTTAGACTTTGATGCAGATTGAATATAATTTCGATGTTACTGTGCGATTACACGATGAGTGACGAGTGTGAATAAAAGGGCGACTTTTAATATTACTACTACTACCCGCAAACATCTTCGTGTCGTTTACCATGGCTTTTATTCGATTTGATTCTGAAAAAAAGCTTTTTGCGTAAATGATTCGAAATAAATCTATGCAAAAGTCGAAAAAAAGCGCATTGCTCACAATTATCTGCTGTTCAATTTGATTGCAATGCTTCCAACTATTTTCATTTTCATGATCTTTACCTCAGTTGTTCAATCATTAATATATCCATCATGTGAATTTCAATTGAAAATCGGCGATTCAGATCCGAAAAGAACTTCATTACCAGTTGAATGTGAATTATCCGAAGAAGACATTGGTTTATACAAATTATTTCTTTCAATTGAATATTTCATCAATAATGTTTATGTTTGGTGGAGTCCAATATCGAATTCAATTGTTACAAAATCTAATTCGATCATAAATTCCAACCCGAAGAAGCGAAACAAATGTTTGTTTCTTTGAACCAATTAAATGACGGAATCTTCTTCATGTGAGGCATTCTGTATGGATACAGTTGTTTATTGTTGCACCAATGATTATTGTACGATCGAAGAAACCGGAAAAACTTCTTCGACGATTGAAGTATTATCATGATTTATCTAATCGAACTATTAATCGTGCTGATAGAATCTGTTTTATTGGAAAAAGACCATTGGCAACGAAAATAATCGCTGATTGTACTGTAGTGAGATCGTGAATTGTTCTGTCAATGTATCGTTTTTTGTGATAAACGATGCAAAGAAATTTCGTTTGATAGCAACGTGTGAGATGCATTGTAATCGTGATCTGTCTAGAGCAATTTCAATGCACGATAAACTGATTAAAATCGGACGAGATTATATTTTAGGAAAAAGATTCTTTCCGAACATGGAGTTTTGTTTTCGAAATAAAGTTTTTAACATTTCAAAAAAGGATTAATGCGATGCCATCAACACATCTACTCAAAGAAGGGAAAATACTCATTCATTAAGACGTATTAGAAGAATATATCTTCTACACAGTTAGAAATAGTCATTCAGTTGAATTCTCATCAATGTTGGAAATGTCCAAGCAAAATGGTGTGTTGGATAAATGATCGGTCTCGCTGACTGAACATAATCAATATATCGGCTGNATTACTCAACAAGACTGCACAAGCATTCACTCATCCTACTCATGCCGTCGCTAATTTTTCTATTCCTGGTTATTATGTTAATTCGTCTATGCATATTAACAGATCTTGGCCACTTCAAGCGGATTCATTCGATGCATATGCTTGTGCAGTCTTGTTGAGTAATTGGAGATATGCATTGAAATATGGTTGTTCTTTTTGAGCAACTTTTTCTTTTACAAAGTCTAACTGTTCTTGAGGATGGATGCCACCGGGATGAACAAAGCCTTTTAACAAACAAAAATTATTGTTAGAAACTTTTACTTCTTTGATAGAGATAAAACAAAGCAATTGTACTTGTAGTTTTTACCAGCTCAATTCCAAGCAACAAACTTGATGAACAATATACAACACAGAATGTAAAAATTAGAGGTGCACGCATTTTTGAAAACAATGTGCGATATAGAATAGATCTAAAATCATGTCATATAAATCAAAATTCATCGTATTTCTTTATTAAACTTATACAAACTACAGAATTAGTTGATTCAAGCTATAATTAGACTTATCACAAAACGTTCCTAATTCTTGCTTATCTTCTACTTTACACACTGGTAAAATGAAACAAATTCTCTTTCTCTTTTAGCAGCAAATGAAATCAACGGATATTTTTTTATCTTATCTTCGATATTTACAGAACTAACTATACGACACACTGAAAATCTATCTGCGCAGTACCAAATAATGTTGAAGAAGCGTAAGTTCAACGGCAAATTATAGAGAAAACGACGGAGGCTATAAAATGATACGAACCGAGATTGATAATTGGTGAGAGTGTGGATGGAAATGAGAAAAAGTTGTAGCTAATCCTTCAACATACGTCATCATTCTTGTTTCACCTATTTTCAAGATAAATAAGCATCTCATTGTTTCTATATTCGCATTCTCATCCTTAAAAACATTATGAAAAAGTCTTCTATTGTAAATAGAAAGAGTAAAAAGCAACAATCATCTTTTTTCAGTGAACAAAACGATAAAATATTGTCATTTATTCAAAGTAGATAACTTTGTTCAGGTAAATAACACATTCGTTTATCTTTTGTATATCATAATTCCAAGACATGATATTCGTAAAAGTTAATAAAAAGAAAAGTACATTATTCCCAAAGGTTCACCTATTACATATTCGCATTCGATACCGAACTTCATAGTTTTCGTCAGACAGATCCGATAGACACACCTTCCTAGTAGAATACGACAGTCATCAAAGTTTATCATAGCTGAGTGAATTTCTGCTAATTGAATACTTTCGATTCTAAATAAAAGTCGATATTTTCACGTATAACAGGAAACTAATATTTAGAAAATCTTTCACTTTTTTGTCATGTAAATGACATAAACTAGTAAACATGATTTTGATAGAAAAACGAATTTATGTTTTGTATATATTTGAAACGTAATATTAACTAATGATCCCATTCATAGACTCACAACATAACATTTTCTGATGCAAATGTTTTTGAGAAATAAATCTTGATGAATAATTTCGGTTTGAAACAACTAATTTTCCTACTATGGTGATTGAGACAATGGCAGATAAATGTTCAATGTTAACCTGATTTTCCTTTTCCAAAATTAGGAACAATCAATGATGCATTGCCTTTGTTAATTACGTTTGGTTCGGGTGAAGATCAATATTCTCGGTTACCTTCTTCTCATTTTAACTTTACCATACCCTATACTCAAAAATTCAAATCTAATGCAGAGGATGAAGAGTTTACTTTTGTAAAACAAGTTCCTTCTATTTGGGGTGTTTGGCATGCAGGACAATGGGATCATACATCGAATGATACGAATGGGTATATGTAATTTTCATTGTTATAATGGATATATTGAAATATTGTTTTGGTATTGATCCAACACGTGAGGAATTAGAAAAAATATCGAAAAGAGAAACGAAAAAAACATTCAGTTATTCAACGATTTATATATGTTAATGCAGCATCACAATCATCAATAGTAAATAACATTGAATAAACAGTTTAGTTTTACTCGTTTATTCATAATGTATTCTTTAAAAAAACACTTTTCTGTAAATGGTGAAACTCACTTAGCTAGAAGTAGGAAAGCGATTTCATTTCAACAATGATGATTGTATTTAGCGCTGATACTTAACCTTGAATATAAAATTTGTACAGAAACAACTACAAAATGACTCGTTTTCCGAGATAATATTCATAGAAAAGATTTAGTAGTCTGTATTTGACTTCAAGAGAACGAACAGTTTCATAACTCCTTAATCAGCAATATTCATTCTTTCCGGGATCAATGGTGTACTTGCGAATACTTATGATGTATCATTCCTACTATTTTTAAGTTCTGATTTTATTGAGTTAAAATGGTATCGTTATGAAAAAAAATAGTACAAAGCAAATTAGGATTAAACGAAAAACTTCAATCTACACTTTCGAAAAGATTTTGGGACTGATATATTACTTAATTTCTAGTGAATCTATTGATATGAGTTACTCGATTTGGTCGTCGAAAGCATTTATACCAGTATGTTTGAATTATTTGTATGAATTCGCGTCGAAAAGATTTCGATGACATAATAAATAAATAAAATGGAGAAATAAAAATAAATTGAATCATAAATTGAGAGAAGAAACTGAAAAATGCATCGATTTCAATACGTTGCGNTAACGCTTGTCGAATTTTTTGACTACGAATTCCGATAACATAGGCATCACGCAACGCGCGATCCTGAGGTTTATCTTTCAACGTGGACGTGGTAAATCCGCAATAACGCAATTTGTCACAAAGTTCTTCTTTCCATTCGGCAAACGATTGACCAACTTTCTGATGACACGAATAAAAATCATAAGTGGACGTCATGATATTCTTCTTTGTATCGTAATGAGAGTCTAGCGTTGTAAGAATATCCACCCAAGTAACCGTGTCATCTGTCAATGATTTCGGCGAAATTAACGATTGAAGCAAATGATACGTCGCATCACCTACAGACCACAAAAACAAAGATTTCTTGTCATCATCGTGGACTGTCTGGTTGGCCTTGAAGTAAAAACACATGCGATCTCTATAACGTTCCCAAGTGGTCGTCCGAGGATCAAATGCATGCAAGGCAGGCATCCTGGAATGAATCGACGGACCGATGGAAGACGACGTCGATGTTGTCGGCGTAATTGTCGACGAAGATTTGGTCGCATCGGTCATTGTTGGTGTTCAGCAGCGTAAACACCACAAACGGCAAATTCGAAGAAAACGAGCCGAAGGAGAAAAGCAGGAAGTAATAACCTCGTCGCCAATGTAAATCTGTGCAGATTTGCTTGAAGGAAACGCGTTTCAACTTTGTTGTTGTTTTATTGATTAAAACAAAACAAACGGAAAACGAAACGCTAACGAACGAACGAGAAGAAAAAAAACGTTCTGTCTAGGTTGGTTGTGAAACACACACACCACGAGACAGAGAGAACAACTCGTGGGAAAATCCACGAAAGAAAAGAAGGGAGAGAGACGAAAACACTCGGACATATATATATATGTGCACGAGCGAAAACGAGAGAAAAACAAATGCGTCATAGAGACGCGTGATGAATGTACGCAGACACTCTACACTCACCATCATCATAGGCTCCTCTATATAGATATATTGAGAAATACTTGAGTTGGATTGACGATAAGAGTATAGGTGTGTGAGGCAACTGAGAAACCATTTGAATTAAATTAAGTATTGTTCGCTTGACCGTCACATGTCGTTCTGATCAAGTTAACATTTCTTATCTAATTTACCAATTTTCTCATCAATGCAACGCTTGTTGAGACGTAAATCTGCATAGTCAATCACCACGTTTCCTTTATTAACATTCAACATATGAAGCACACACTTGCTAAGGATGAGAGTATTCGTATCCCTGCTCTCACCCTGACCAAGGAATAGGCGAATATAAAATACCTATCAATAAAATCAGAGTATATCCACTAAAGTAAACAACACCAACGGTCTGCAGCTTTTCTAAACTATTGCTGAAGAAGATATCCGTCACTTGTTTTCCAGGACTATTCACATTTAATTTCATCAATGTGGCATTCGCAACATGTATTTTCACAACAGAAGCTTGTCGAATGTTACTATGATCACTTTTTCAGAATTGCGATAATAAAAGCATAACGATCGCTGTTTGACCGTTATCATATATCTCGTAGATCAGGAATACTGAATATGTAATTAGTATCACTCGTCATTAGCAAATGACTTTCTAGTATAGATGAAAAAAATCCCATCTTGAGGGCGAGAATGTCAGCAACGGATACAAATGCTCCTACTCTCAAGATCTTAGAACACTACATTCTCCTTTAAATAATTAGATAATGTATATTAACTTCGAAGATTTGAATAAAAGTTAAAATGGGTTACCCTTCACAATATTTTTATACGCACGAATTGTTACAAGTGTTCAGAATCAATTTTCTACCAACACCTTTCCAGAGAGCATCATAGTCTATTTAAACTAAATTTATTCGATTATTTTTGTAATTGAACTTCTATTCATGGTCTGATCGATGTTAAAGTTTTTCTCCGTTTATAGGTAGATTTGTAAGATCATCATAGATGAACAAAGATTAATATCAGTTGACAGACGAATTCCAATAGAAAGCCAACGGTCCAAATGATTGTGGTCGTATAGCATGACCAACGAATTGATCGACAATGCTCATAGATCCATTCATAAACTTGTGCTTCAGGTTCATTGTCAACAAATGATTGTACTTTAGCTACAAATACCAAACAAAATGAGAAAGCCTATAGCATCGAATAATCATAACTGCTGGAGGTATGCCAGCAATTGAGAGTGCACAGACGGCACTGAAACGTTTCTGTCGAATGACATCGAATATGTCTGGGAGTGAAAGTCATAGTTTGTAAGCATAGTTGATCGATGCACCTATGTTTGTTCGTCTCCAGAATGGTCACGTGCTTTGAAGATACTCATTTGCACGTTGTCAAACACCTGCGTCGTCTTGTTTTACAAATGATAATGTGTTAAATGTCCACCAGTCAAGCAGACACTACGGATACATAGAAAAACAATGTTACCAACATATGTATTGATGTTATTCATGTGATTCCACCTTTTTTGCCGGAAACATGCATTGTCTGCATGGGTGTTTTCGCTAACTAATTGATTACACGGAGTTAATGTAAACAAAAAAAAGTAGAAATATAAGAAAAAGAAAAGAAGATTGAACATCTAAGTAGATGCACAAGCTCTCGGTCACCCACAGCTTTAGAATGAATATTTATTCCTGTCGATCCGGACATGTTTCACAAATGTCAAATCCAGTTATTGTACAAGAGCAATGCCATGAGAGACGTGGTGATTCTTGTGAACATATACCACATCTAAATTCTTTCATTTCGTATGATTCAGTATTGTTCTTTTTACGTTGTTGACTATTGCATAACTTGAGCCGGTGTCCTTGCGGACATAGCAATTGAATCGCACCTATCGGAGACATTATAGATTCTGTCAGCGCGTGTCTCCTTTCCCTTTCAATTGACTTACTGTTAAGATCGAATTCTATTGGTGTCTAAATGAAATTGTTGAGTATAATGAAAACATTACAGGAGAAAAGAATGATTAACTGACCGTTCTAATTCGTTTAACATCTTCCAAGTATTGTATGCCTGTTGGACCAATTTGATTGCCACGAAGATGGAGCGTAGAAAGTGTCTAAACGAATTAGGGCCACAGATATGAATCGATTTGACCGAACTTCATATTACTTGGTTATATTTTAATGCTTCAGCCAGGTGACGTGCTCCTTCGTCTCCAATATCATTCGATTGAAGATATAAGTTGATCAGTGTCTAGAATTGTAGTCAGTCGTAAAAACTCCACTAAATACAACAATTACTGTCGATTGTTTGATTGCCGTAGCTAAGTACTGAGCACCAGTATCGGTTATATTGTTTGAAATGAGATTGAGGCATTGTATTATCTTAAGAAAAGGTACGCTAAATATGTTCTATGCCAGACAAAAGGGATGTATGATTACATTCGCTGTTGGTATTAGAGATGACATGTATTCAATTATCCGATCTCCGACACCGCAACATTCAAGATCTACATGGCGTTCATGCTAGAAAAGGATTATTAATGACTGAAAATAATGAAAAATACCGACAAATTACTTCCAAATGCAGACTTCCACGAATGATCGATATAGCTTCGCATGCTGGACTCTTATTGTGTCGTAGTTTCAGATATTGAAAATTCTAAATGAATTTTTAACTGATAATCACTCAAAGAAATGAGGACAAACAAGTATACCGTATTTTTTTTCAATGCACCAATGAAATCTTGAGCTCCTTGATATCCTATTAGATTTCTCTGTAAATCTAACGTAGTAAGCACCTATAAAAGAGTGAAATGAACATGTGAAAATATACGCAGCAGAAATACTTGATTGGTTTCTAATAGATCAGCCAAATATTTTGCTCCTTCATCACCAATTGAATTGTATTGAAGTTCTAGAATGGCTAATGCCTATTTTGCAATAAATAAAAATAAATACGTGAAGCTTTCTGTTGCGACATACGGGATGATGTTGTAAAGTTTTAGTCAAACACTGTACGCCTTTGCATTCGATCAGATTGCCATTGAGACAAAGTCTCGTTAATGACTAATTGTGAACAAAACAAGAGAAAAGCAGTTCATTGAATTGAGTCAAAAATTCCTACCTTGTTAACTTCCAAAATAGAAGAAATGCACTCCATTCCTTCATATCCAATTTTACAGTCATCGAAAGATAATTCAATTAGACACTGGAATCATACAAGCATATATTGAAGAATCAAATTATACGGTAGATTAGATTTACCATATGATTCCGTAATCCTTGACGAATCATTTTCGCTCCTTCATATCCCAGACATTTCGGTATTGCCCTAAATATCTTCAAATCCTACAGGAGAACTAAACTGCAAATGAATGAGTAGAAGACTATCTTTATACTTTGTCATGTCGGATCCGCACAGATTGCTCTAATGCTTTACACAGATCGCTCCGATTATCTTCTAGATCAAGATTGGTAAGTGTCTTGAAAAAAAGGACAGTAAATAAAAAAAAGTGTAGAATAGAAAGCAGCCATTACTGTATTTGTTTCCACTGCATCAGCAAGACGTTCGATACCCTTAGTCTCAATTTTATTCGATCTTAAATCCAATACTTTCAAAATCTAAGAATGATTCAATCGATACGATAATTCAAAATCAAAACGAGACAGCTTACTGTGTTCTCTTTTAGCATATCGGCTATGTATACGGCTCCGATGTCAGTAATGTTGTTGTAGCGGATGCTGAGTTTTTGAAGAGACTAAACAAAGTAAAGATGAGTTTGTGTAAAAATACCAATCAATACTTACTCTGTTAGTTTTCAACCAATCGGTGATTAACTGAACACCCTGATCTGTGATTTCATTGGCAGAGAGTTCGAGTTCTTCAATAGTCTACATAGAAACTTTGTATGTGTTCCAAGGTGAAAATAGATGATACTCACTGTATTGTTGTTTAGTGTGCCGAGCAAATATTCAATTCCGAAGTCACTCATCTTCTCTCCCAAGAATGACATGATTTTTCGGGTCTATTCAATGAGATGCTTTCGAAAATATATCAGAAATAGATTCTATTAACCTTTCTTTTTCTGGTCCGAATAAAAATCATCTCGATAATATCACAACGGACATTTTCATTATCACTAAGACAGAGTTTTTTCAGGATCTACGTAGAAAAAATAAGATAAATCCGTACGTAATACTCCAAAACAAACTGTATTATTTCGTAATGCAAAAGACAGTGCTTCTGCTCCTTTTTCTCCAATCTTGTTCGATCGTAGATCCAACTCTCGAAGTGTCTATATCGAAAATAACATTATAGATACCAGCAAAGCTCGTCAATAACACTAACGGTATTGTTTTTCAACGCATCAGCAATAAATGTAACTCCTTTGTCTCCTATGTTCTTTGATTGCAGATGCAGTGTGAGTATCTCGCTGTTTCGAAGTTGAAAATCAGCGTTCATTGCAGCAGCAGCAGTACACTCGTCATTGTCTGTCAGGTCGAAACAGACCAATTTCTGAGAACATCAAATATATGAATATATAGTTTCGAAATTTGAAAGTTACATGTTTCTTTTGAAATAATTTATAGATTTCTTCTACAATTGCAGCACTGATTTCATTTGAACTCAAATTGAGTGATTTTAATGTCTACGAAAAATAAATGAGCCAAAGGGAGACGAATCAAAATGCTGCATTACCTCCATATCTTTCAGAATTTCAGTAACATGTAATGCACCCTGATCTCCAAGATTATTATCCCTCAAATCAAGTTGAATTAGTTCCTATGTTATCAAATATTCAATCAAACCTTTGCAAAAGAAAACTATTTACCCTTTTATTTTCGAGCGCATTGGCTAAACATTGTGCACCAGCAATTCCAATCTTGTTTCCATTAAGAGTAAGTGAAGTGAGTGTCTGTTTCGGAGAAAAAAGCTAATGAAGTAGTGTCAAATCAGAAAATATACCGTGTTCTTCATTAAACTTTCGAAAAGATACCGTGCTCCTTCGTCTCGAATGTCGCTATTGTCAAGATGAAGATGAGAAATCGTCTACAAAAAGACTTCAACATCTAATTCGCTCATATATCACAAATGGTGGAAACTTTCTGTATTATTTCGCAGGAAATCACTGAGATATTGTGCTCCTTTCACTCCAATTTGATTGTCACTAAGTTGAAGGGTCACGAGTGTCTTAATGAAGACAAGAATACGAAAACATTTTTGCTTCGAAAAAGAAGATTACCGTGTTATTTCTGAAGCCCTCAACTAAACTTTGTACACCCTCATCGCCAAGGCTATTTCCCCGTAGGAGAAGATGGGAAATAACAAGGGCTTGATTGTCTCTTAAAGCGTCACTCAGGTATTTTGCTCCACATGCTCCAATTTGATTGTCATTTAGACCAAGCGTCGTAAGTGTCTTCATACGCTTGATTCCTTCAGCCAGGTACAACGCGCCAGCTTCGCCAATATTGTTCTCTCCAAGAAAAATACTCCGAATAACCTACGCAATCAATCGTACAAAATATATCAAATGTCTGTTTTTTAGAATTTCACCGTATTGTGTTGTAATCCATCAGCCAAGTACTGTGCTCCTTTATTTCCAATTCGACATCCGTCCAAATCAATTGATATCAATGTCTTCAAAATGAATTCGAAATGAAAAATATCGAAATGTCTCTATTACCGTATTTGTTCGTAAAGCTTCAGCAATGTATCGTGCTCCTTCTTCTCCAATGGCATTGTTTTTCATTGTAAAATGTTTGACTGTCTACAGCAATCTCGATTTTTCTTATACGCAATGAAGTTAAGCAGTAATTACTTTATCCGTTTGTAATGCATATGCCAAATATTTGATGTCGTGCATTGGAGTATTTTCATCATTCAGGTTCAATGTCGTCAACGGAGTTGATTCTGTAGCGTCGCTCGTCATTGATAGCAAATCAACGATTGAATGAAACCTTAGCATAATCGAAGAAGCTTGCTTTGACTTAAAGCGTTTTACTTGGTTTTCAAAATCCATAGTGCATTGAAGTGTTGTATAAATATTCACCAGATTGTAGTGTAAGTAATAATCACATCTGACAATCCATTGCTTTTCATGCAACCAAAAGGGAGTCCGAAATTGGTTGATCAATAAATCCAGATCTTTCGCTTCGCTTCTTTCTTTTAAAGAATAAGAAAAGAAGAAATGAAATATTCTTAGATTGGATAGTTTTGTTTGGATTAAGTCGGACCAATCTGATCCATTGATAATTGAATCCAAAGTTGTCCGATAAGATCCTAGATTGAGTCTGGTTAATGACGGCGTCAACGAAAGAAGCAATCCGAAATCCAACATGGACAAAGCACTATCACCAATTGCCAATGATAACAATTGTGAACAGTGTTTTGAAGGTCCAGATTGATCCATAGTGAATTTTGCTATAACTATTGTTTGTAAGGAAGGTGAATCTCGTAGAATAAGATTGTATTCGGAGAATGAACATGATCGAATGGTAAGATATTGAATATTTTCTGGTGTAGAGCAAGATATGTCTTTTAAAGTGAAATTGGATTGAATTAAATGAAGTTGATGAAGAGTTGGTAGAGACAAAACTTTCGAAATAAAAGGTAATGCGTAGGTTTCATATTTACGATCATAACTGATATGAAGGGAGGCTAAATTTTTAATGGGCAACTTTTGCAAATGTTGATAATTTTCCGAATGAAAACAATCACCCACTACAATCGTTTTCAATGAAACCAATTGATCGATATTGAAAATTGAGAAAAATAATCCAATTTGACTTTGTTGATTTGGTTCGTCATGAAACTTCAGTGCAGTTATACTTTCTGGTCGGATAATCCGTGATATGATTTTCAAATGTGATGATGACATTGAATTAACATCGAGTAGATATCCATTATAACGATTGGTAATATCATAGAATTGTTTGGATACACGACGTAACGTGAAAATAATAAAGTGTGTATCAAGATACTTCAAAATATGATGAAATAGTTCGTTAGGTAATATTGATAGGGATTTGTCGGTCATTGTAATATATTCAATCTACAAAAGAAGAACATACATCTGACTATTTCCTAATCGCATTTTCTTTTAGTAATTAACCTATTCTAGACTAGCGCATTTTATGAGAGATAAATGAGATAATAGTGAAATATTTTTTTATCTCGTTATGATTAAAGATACACGATATATAAGGTTATAGAAGGAGGAAAATTCCAACAACGTCGTAAAGAAGGGAAAAAGATAAAAGAAATATATATGACATCATCGAGCGAAGAATATCGATTGGATCATCTATTGTCAAATACCGGCGAAGTAGAACATTTGTTACATTTGTGAGTGATAAAAATAAATTCAATGTAAGTTACTTGTTAGGAGAAAGAAACCGCTCTCTTTTATCTTACTGCAGACTCACATTTTTTACATATTATTGTTTATTACTGACGAAAGCCAGACATTTCTCGTGTTTACTTGTTTTTACGGCGGAGGAAAGAAAAAGAAAAGAAAAGCAGCACATGTTGTCCAGATATTTCGATTTTGAAATAGCAACTATACAGAAAAATCATACAAACATTGGCAAGCCAAAATGAATTCAAGTTCTAGAAGAAAACAGATAATTACTCGATTAATAAGCAAAATGAATAGATGAATCAATGAAATAATGCACAAAAAAAGTCAAATATTACTGAGAAGCAAACCAATTTTAATCTTTTTGACCAACCTATCAAAAAATATATATGAAATCAGAATCTAAATTCTTATTGATAATAACTGAACATTCACTTCCGTTAAAAGCATTGATATTAATCCATAGCTTGTAGAAAATCAACTGTTTAAACGTCGAAGTTCACCATCAACAAATCGTAATAACATAGAAAGTGCGAGATGAATCTTTACGAATAACAATGTCTTGTCGATCGCCACCGAGTTGAAATCATCAATCTCAATAGCTTCTGTATCGAATCTGCCACCAACAAAACATATGATAGCAGTCGGGTGCTCTTGCTACTTCAGTGAAAGATCATAAGCAAAGGTAATGTTCCCGCATACTTTTTATTCATGATGGTTGACAAGTTCACCGTTCATACAAATCGAAACGACGCATTACTTCATCTGAGATTGCAGATATTTATTCGGGATCCTCTACAAAAAATGCTTAACATGAAGGATACTGCGGCAAGTACCCGTTGTCAATTAAGAAACATTTACATAAAAATATTACATGTTGAAAAGAGGTCGAACATAAAGATGTCAATATGCTTCAAGTTTCTTCGCCTGCGAATTTTTTCTTTTTTACTGTAAACAACAAAACATAGTAATTTGAAGAGGAATACGATACGCTGTGGGTTAGAGCGTATAGTAGAATATGATAGAACAGCACACCGATATTATCTATCGCAGGATTTAAGTTTTCGATGTTTTTCCTTTCGGAATTTGGGCAGTAAAACCTATAGTCAGGTCATATGTCTACATAGGGTAAAACATTGTATGTCGAATGTCGCATTGTTTGCTTTTTGCATAAGACAATTAGGCCCAGATTGGATCTATTCATCATTTTCCGGCAACTTCGGCAAATATCGAATAATGATGGGATGCGACTTCGAGAAGAGAAATCCGTAGCTCATGTTATTATTCCTGAGACATCTTTTGGTTTGCCTAGTAGCTGTGACTTCTTAGAAGAAGCTTGCTGAGAGGACCTTAGTCTCAGTTGTGAGGAAGCAGATGACCCAACTCTGCTTTCAACGATCGTCGAGAAAGCAGCTGATGACATTGTTATTGAAAGAGAGAAAATAAGCAAACAGAAGCACGCCGAATGGATCGCTCGAAAACTACTAAGCGTCAATGAACGCACAAGGAAAGAGGTGGCTGAGTATTGCGCTCAACTCTATAGTCACGGCTTGTTTCTATTCAGGGAATTAAATAAAGCTATGCAAATTCAGACCGACGAATTGTACGAGCAACATCAGAAGTTGTGGAGAATAAAAGCGCGCGCTCTCGGTCTCTTTGCTTTCCTTCGAGAGATGCTTCCAAATCCGTTTATTGACAAAAAAAATGACTGTCTATCGTGTAGCCGACTTATCCGAGAGTTTAGTTGAACAGTATCCCTAGTCAGCTGGCGACAGGTTCCAGAGCTTAAGCTTTTTTCCTAGAAGTCGAAGTCGAGATAAAGCAGAGTTCGTTGCTGGTAATACTCTTTTTATTCTAGACATAAATGAAGATGATGGCCGTGACGTGGCATCTTATTCAACTTTCGACGAGGAAGAAATACTTATAATGCCGCCTTTCTTTTTTTCGCTGAATCATGTGTGGAAAATAAAAAAGAGCATGTTTGACGAAATCTTTTAGACTTTGATGCAGATTGAATATAATTTCGATGTTACTGTGCAATTACGCGATGAGTGACGAGTGTGAGTAAAAGTGCGACTTTTAATACTACCACCCACAAACATCTTCGTGTCGTTTACCATGGCCTTCATTCAATTTGATTCTGAGAAAAAGCTTTTTGCGTAAATGATTCGAAATAAATCAATACAAAAGTCGAAAAAAGCGCATTGCTTACAGTTATCTGTTGGTCAATTTGTCTTCACTTCATTTGTTCAATCGTTAAAATGTCCATCATGTGAATTTCAATTGAAAATCGGCGATTCAAGCCCGGAAAGAACTTCATTACCAGCTGAATGTAAAATATTCGAAGAAGACATTGGTTTATGTAAATTATTTCTTTCAATTGATTATTTCATCAAATATATTTTAGGAAAATAATTCTTTCCGAACATGGAGTTTTGTTTTCGAAATAAAGTTTTTAACATTTCAAAAAAGGATAATTTGATGTCATCAACACATCTACTCAAAGAAGGGAAAATACACATTCATTAAGACGTATCAGAAGAATATATCCTCTACACAGTTAGAAATAGTCATTCAGTTGAATTCTCATCAATGTTGGAAATGTCCAAGCAAAATGGTGTGTTGGATAAATGATCGGTCTCGCTGACTGAACATAATCAATATATCGGCTGTCGTTATATAAAGATCCCATAGCTTCTAACAAATTTCCTGGCCATGATGACGGGGAACCTTTGTTCGGGTTTTTATACCAAGGCCATTGATCAGGATGCATGTTATAATAATAGAGATAATCAAGTGCTAATTTAATCGATGCATTACCCTGTGAAACGTTGAATAGATTTTCTTTTGTCGTTTGGTAATTCACCCAACATGCTGCGGTCATTGGTGCTAAAGAAAAATAGGTATACCAAATTCCATTTGCTTCTCTTCTTGTTTCTTCTGGCATATGACCATCGGGAGCAATTTTATGAAAGAGATCACCTTTGATTAGATTAACGACTGTTTGTAATTGCGAAGAATTATCAAATAAATGAGCAGATAAAATTGAACCCAACCGTCCCCAATCTCCCCAGTTATTCGCATTTGTTTTGATCTGATTTGATGCTTTCGAATAAACATTTGTTACCCAGTGGAAAAATTTCGTTCTATCTGTTGAGTTCCAACCATTGTAATTATAGAGTAATTCACCAGCAATGACCATACCAGTTCCTGCATAAGTCATAACAAGAGGCCCATCTGAATCAGAATACGCTACATTCAGATAAGCCCAGGCATTCAAAAACCGCAACGAATGATTGGCAAAGATTGGTTGACCACCACTTATGTGATAAGCCAATGCACACGCATATGCATCGAATGAATCCGCTTGAAGCGGCCAAGATCTGTTAATATGCATAGACGCATTAACATAATAACCAGGAATAGAAAAATTAGCGACGGCATGAGTAGGATGAGTGAATGCTTGTGCAGTCTTGTTGAGTAATTGGAGATATGCATTGAAATATGGTTGTTCTTTCTGAGCAACTTTTTCTTTTACAAAGTCTAACTGTTCTTGAGGATGGATGCCACCGGGATGAACAAAGCCTTTAACAAACAAAAATTATTCTTAGAAATGTTTACTTCTTCGATAGAGATAAAACAAAGCAATAGTACTTGTAGTTTTCACCGACTCAACTTCAAGCAACAAACTTGGTGAACAATATACAACACAGAATGTAAAAATTAAAGATACACGCATTTTTGAAAACAATGTGCGATATAGAATTGATCTAAAATCAGGTGATATAAATCAAATTCATCGTATTTCATTAGTAAATCTATGCAAACTATAGAATTAGTTGGTTCAAGCTATAGTTATACTTATCACAAAATGTTTCTAATTCTTGCTTATCTTCTACTTTACACACTGGTAAAATGAAAAAATTCTCTTTTCTATTTTAGCAACAAATGAAATCAGCGGATATTTTTATCTTATCTTTGATATTTACACAACTAACTATACGACACAATGGAGATCTATCTGTAGTACCAAATAATGTTGAAGAAAAGTAAGATCAACGACAAATCATAGAGAAAACAACGGAGGTTATAAAATAATATGAACCGAGTTTGATAAATGGTGAGAGTGTGAATGGAAGTGAAAAAATTTGTAGCTAATCCTTCAACATGCGGCATCATTCTTGTTTCGCCTATTTTCAAAATAAATAAGCATCTCATTGTTTCTATATTCGCATTCTCATCCTTGAAAACATCACGAAAAAGTCTTCTATTGTAAATAGAAAGAGTAAAAGGCAACATTCATATATTTTCACTGAACAAAACGATAAAATATTGTCATTTATTCAAAGTGGATAATTTTGTCCAGGCAAATAACACGTTCGTTCATCTTTTGTATATCATAGTTCCAAGACATGATATTCGTAAAAGCTAATAAAAAGAAAAGTACATTATTCCCAGGTTCACCTATTACATATTCGCATTCGATGCCGGACTTCATAGTTTTCGTCAGACAAATCCGACGGACACACCTTCCTAGTAGAATACGACATAGTCATCAACGTTTACCATAACTGACTGAATTTCTGGTATAATTGAATGCTTGCGATTCTAAATGAAAGTCGATATTTTCACGTGTAACAGGAAACTAATATTTAGAAAATCTTTCACTCTTTTTGTCACGTAAATCACATAAACTGGTAAATGTGATTTTGATAGAACACGGAAAGTATATTTTGCATATATTTGAAATGTAATATTAACTAATGATCACATCCATAGAACCAAAACGTAACATTTTCTGATGCAAATGTTTTTGAGAAATAAATCTTGATGAATAATTTCGGTTTGAAACAACTAATTTTCCTACTGATGATTGAGACAATGTCAGATAAATGTTCAATGTTAACCTGATTTCTCTTTTCCAAAATTAGGAACAATCAATGATGCATTGCCTTTGTTAATTACGTTTGGTTCGGGTGAAGATCAATATTCTCGGTTACCTTCTTCTCATTTTAACTTTACCATACCCTATACTCAAAACTTCAAATCTAATGCAGAGGATGAAGAGTTTACTTTTGTAAACCAAGTTCCTTCTATTTGGGGCGTTTGGCATGCAGGACAATGGGATCATACATCGAATGATACGAATGGGTATATGTAATTTTCATTGTTATACTGGATATATTGAAATATTGTTTTAGTATTGATCCAACACGTGAGGAATTAGAAAAAATATCGGAGAGAAAAACGAGCAAAGAAACGAAAAAACATTCAGTTATTCAACGATTTGTCTATGTTAATGCAGCATCACAATCATCAATAGTAAATAACATTGAATAAACAGTTTAATTTTACTCGTTTATTCATAATGCATTCTTTAAAAAAAACCACTTTTCTCTAAATGGTGAAACTCACTTAGTAGAAGTACGAAAGCGATTTCATTTCAATAATGATGATTGTATTCAGCGCTGATACTTAACCTTGAATATAAAATTTGTAGAGACACAACTACAAAATGACTCGTTTTCCGAGATAATATTCATAGAAAAGATTTAGTAGTCTGTATTTGACTTCAAGAGAACGAACAGTTTTATAACTTCTTAATCAGCAATATTCATTCTTTTTGGGATCAACGGTGTAGTTGTGAATACGTATGATGTATCGTCCCAACTATTTTTAAGTTCTGATTTTATTGAGTTAAAATGGTATCGTTATGAAAAAAAAATAGTACAAAGCAAATTAGGATTAAACGAAAAACTTCAATCTACACTTTCGAAAAGATTTTGGGGCTGATATCTTATTTAGTTTCTAGTAAATCTATTGATATGAGCTACTCGATTTGGTTGTCGAAAGCATTTATACCAGTATGTTTTCATTATTTGTATGAATTCGTGTCGAAAGGATTTCGATGACATAATAAATAAATAAAATGGAGAAATAAAAATAAATTGAATCATAAATTGAGAGAAGAAACTGAAAAATGCATCGATTTCAATACGTTGCGCAGTCTTAATTACTATAGAAGCAGTTGCAGAACTATACAGAAGATTAGCTGCAAAAGGTACTGATGCAATGATATTAATCAGAACTTCAGCAACTAACATTCTCATTAAATCTCGATCTTTTCGCTTTAGTCGTCCTAGAGCAATCTGTCGTTGTTGAACATTCTTCACAGCCAGAAAACCAAATATACTCATTAGTGCTGATGAAACGACAACAATTATAATGAATTGATAGATTGGATAGAAGAATTTATAAAAACCAAACAATCCACACATATTTCCACGAATATCTAAGAATATTAATAAATGTGATGCTATTATTAAACCGAAAAGACACATAAACATCGTTGAAAGATATGCTATTTTCATTGAACTTAAAGAACGAACGCGAAAACTTATATGTGTAATTAAAAATAGATCCACACAACCGAATACAATTGAATAACGTGTGTATAAACCAAATATATGGCTGAAATATAGACGCATTTTGCAGTAAACTACTGATAGAGTTTGCGGATCTGTATAATTGAGTGTGTAGAATAGTGGTGTAACAGACCAAATAAGATACATATTGGCGAATATGGATAACGTCAAAAAATAAACAGCCGAGACTATTCGAGATTGGATTTGCTTGAAAAATATCAAACAGCATAAAATATTACCAATGAGACCTATACTAACGGTAATACTCATCACATATTTAGTCATGATGTTTTGAATAAAGGGAAATATCGTCGTTGACATCGGTATTAAAGCTAAGATTCAAAATAAATTATGTGATGTTTGTAACTTTTGAAGAAAATATATGAGAAAAGAAAAGGAATAATAATCTCAGTTAGAAGAAGAGAGACAACATAAAATAGATACTAAAATAGTTCTTCATTAAGAATCTCGAGTGTGTTTGTCCTTCTAAAATGTAATAGAATAAAACTTTGGAAAAATGCACTTTTTAGAATTCCTATTGTACATATTTCTAGAAGTAGATCTTTTTTATTTTTGTTTTTATAAAGCGATATTTAAAAAAATGAGTTTTTTTTGCATTACAAACAAAAAGGCATACTTTCATATCGGATTAGTTACGATTCAATTAACTTTTCATGCACTATGCATTTCAAAGATCAATGGAATTAAGATTAAAAGGTTTCTTTTGATAAAAACTTCCATTTATATATAAAATGTTCAGTGCGTCTGCGTCTGTGTGAATTTCTCCATGTTTCATCAAAATTCGAAGCTTTCAAATTAACGATGAGAGTGTAGACTTAGCTCTCATTCATACATTTCATCGTCAAGGTTTTCAACAACGACACAATCAAATTTATTCCAAAGAACTATGTTGAAAAAAATCGATTTCGATGAACTTAGAGGACTCCATACATACTTTTATAGCGAAGCTTTATTTCAGTTTTTTGTATCGAAATGTCATTATGGCCTAGAAAATACTTTTGAAAAATAGATCAAATTCTTTTCAATCAAAGCTGTAGGTTTTGAAGCAGTTCTTCATAGTGGCTAAAATACATTTAGATAAAGAGAGAAAAAGCTCAGCATGTCTTTAAAAAAGAAATTTTTTAATTTCTTCAAGAATGTGACTTACGAAGAATAGTATGTCGACATCCATATCTTCAACCCTCTAGTGCGGAGAAAAAAAAAGAACTACCAGTACATCCAAAAGATAATTACATTACAAATTATAATATAATGATAAAGCAAAAAATGTTTAAGACGTTATCATCTATACGTGAATGTGCTGTGTTCTTTTATTATTGTTGTTGTTAGATGTCGTCACTTGTATATAAATGCCTTTACTATTTTGTTTCTTTTCACAGTTCTATACTAATATGTTGTATCATACAATTATTTTGTTGGTATTGACTACAGTCGTCCTCGCCGATAATAATTCGTTAATCAATTCGGAAAGTGATTCACATCGTAGACTCTTGGTGAAATCAAAGCTGATAAATTGTCTCTATGAGTGCGTCTTTGAATATTATTTTAACGGTTCATTTATCATACCATCAACTTGTGAAACTTACGTTTCATCCAGGAAATGTTCATTTAAATTTATAATTGACTATATGAAATACAAAGTGGGTGTCCTATTCGAATATGATAATCAAACAGATACTGATTTCGATGCTAGTATTAGCGCATTCGGTGAATTTTCTATGAAAAAAGAACATAGTAGTCGATCTGTAATGTGGACCTATGTTTGTTCCAATCATGACAATTGTAGTACGAATTATTTTAATCAGTATATTGCACATTATGTTCAACTAACAGAACAATTTCAAACTTTAAATAATCGTTTTTCTACATTACTCGATTATATTGGTAGTAATTCATCGAAGGTACAACAATGTTACAATAATTCAGATACATTACAAAGTTGCATCGATGGATCTTGTGTATATAACTGGGTGCCTGAACGCAATGTAACTGCTCAGAAATGTGCGTTTCCTCCGGCATTTACTCGAGTTTTGTACGAAGTAGTTCAAACAACTCGATCCGCACAGTCGACTCCCGTTTTTGTTGTAGTCACATACGAATGCAATATAGACAAATGTAATTCTCCAGAAAGTGTGGCAGCTGTCAAAAAGGCAATTGAAGAAGATTGGGGTGGAATTTTAAATACGGATTCTGCGTCTATAAACAGAGGTTTCCTATTCGTTTTCTTCATATGTCCATTTATACTAAAATTTTTATTAACAGCTCTTAATTAACCCTGAAACGCCCACCTGGAGTCCAATCGGACTCCATAATACAACATTGGTTTTCTCTTAATATTTGAATATAAATTTTTCATTCTCCTACTTTACGCATCTGTCCGCCTCTATGAGAGTCTTTTAGACCTATATAATAAGGTGTAAAGTATATCAATGGTTTGACAACGCTATATTGGATACATTTGAGTATTCTCACGAATCGTCTGTTATCATTTGAAATAATTTTGCCTGTAATGAAAAACTTGAATATTTCCATGAAGAATACTTTTGTACAGTGCTATCTTACATACATAGTTTCTTTTTTCCTCCTATTGATATGACGTTATGTCATGATACATGCATACGATATGCATATCTTATTCCGTTCTTCGATCATACGTGAATACATACGTCTTTTGTCTGGTATGTTCAAGTACATGTGTTTTCGCTCTTGTTCTCGTTCTTTCTGTATAAAATGACACATACTCTCTTGTACCTTCTAGTAAATTCTCTTGCTTCTATCGTTTTCCAGCAAGCTCGTGATTTTCTTCGTAAAAAACTATATAAACCTTCATATTGAAACAGTAAAGTCATTATATATCTCACTAAATACTACTATTATACGAAGACATATGAGTTCGAAGAAACCCACTGATTCCAATCAACAAAAACACTGGACTCGACATTCTAAACAATTTAACAATGAATCGAACGACGAAGAAGATGATGATGATGATGTTGATGATGAGTCTGAAGATGTCGAAATGCCTTCGACTCTTCAAGATAGTTCAAATGAATCAGATGATGGTGTGGTGGTAAAGGATTCAGGCGATGAATCTGCTGCAAGTACTGATGAAACTGGGAGTGATAGTGATGATGAACCACCTAGACGTCGAGCAAAACGTCAACCACAAGTTGAACCATCACCAGTTCAAATATATACAGCAAAATCTGGACGTCAATGGACATCAAAGGAGCCTCCAAAACGAAAAATACCATCAGCTAATATCTTACGACAACAAAATAGTGTTGGACGACCAGCTGTAGATGTACAAACGGTGAAAGAAGCATTTCAGGTTTTAATCACTAAAGAAATGGTGCTTCTTTTAGTGAATGAAACAAATCGACGAGCGCATCTTATTCTGATAAAGAATATCAATGGAAAGATACTGATGTTGAAGAAATGTGGGCTTTCATTGGATTATTACTTCTGGCAGGTGTTCATCGAGCAAAGAATGAAAGTCTAAATGAATTGTGGTCAATGATCAATGGACGACCTATCTTTCATGCAACTATGAGCAAGAATCGCTTCAAAACCTTACTTCAATTTTGTCGATTCGACAACACGGCAACACGAGAGGAACGACTAAAGTCAGATAAACTAGCAGCAATACGAGACTTATGGGCAATGTGCTTAGCTCGATCACAAGTATGCTATACGCCCGGTGGATCGCTCACGGTAGACGAACAGCTTATTCCAACTCGTGGCCGATGCAATTTTCGTCAGTATATGCCTAGTAAACCGGGAAAATATGGCCTGGAGGTCTTTTGGTGTTGTGATTCAGGTACAGCACATCCTTTGAATGGTGAGGTTTATCGGGGTCGTCAGCCTGGAGCAACTCAAGACGAACCATTACTAAAGATAACTATTTTACCAGTGCAGAGTTGGCAGAGGATCTTCTAGGTGTTCAAACAACTCTTGTAGGAACTATTCGACAAAATTAAAAGGAAATTCCACGAGAGCTGCGACCGCATGCTCAACGTCCTGAACAATCATCGATTTTTTGTTTTGATTGACAGTTAACATTAGTTAGTTATGTGCCGAAAAAATCTCATACTGTAATTCTGCTGTCATCTCTTCATCATGATCAGACAATTTGTAGACGATGAAAGGAAAAAGCCAGAAATTATTTTATATTACAATGACACAAAAGGTGGTATCGATCATATGGATCAAATGGGTCAAACTTATTCTTGTAAACGAAAGACAAAGCGGTAGCCAATGAAGCTCTTTTTCAACATACTTGACATTGGTGCTCTTGCTGCTTTTCTGGTATGGACAACCAAAAGTCCTCAATGGAATGAAAAGAAAAACTACCGTCGCCGTCTATTTCTAATGGAATTAGGTTATGATCTTGTTCAATCGCATTTAGACCGACGACGGCAGCAACCACATGCATTTCGACAGAATGTTCGAATAGCCATACAAGCACTTGGACTCACTGTTACTATTTCACATCCAACTATTGTTTCAGCATCTACTGGCAAGCAACGTTGTCATATTTGCCCAAGAGAACGTGATCGAAAGGTTAATACTCATTGTTCAAGTTGTAATGCTCCTTGTTGTCCACATCATCATACATTTATTTGTACTATGTGTAACGAAACACTATCAGGATAAGTGCGGACTATAAGAAAATGTTTCAGAAATAAAAGATAAAATAACGAAATATAGATCCTTTCCTATAAGAAACTAAGTCTATAAGATGCAACTTATATATAACATAATGCTACTATATGTATTTTATTGAGTTGGGGTCCGTGCGGACCTCAGGTGGGTAATAAGTGGTAGTCCTATAAGTGGGCGTATGAGGGTTAATAATTATGAAAATATCAATATGCGGATCATATCTCTTTTTCTGTTTACTATAACAGTATCTCGACAAGTATCTCTATTAAAATTTTCTCCACTTATTCTTGCCATTCAAACATCAAAAGTATTCCATCCTCTAAGTAGTTGTGTAGAATTGATTGTAAGTATGAATAAAACGCTGATTAATAAATGTCTCAGTCACCGTTAGAATTAAAAGATCAAACAAACTTTTTATGAATATTTTTTTATATTCAATTTGTTAAAATATTCGTATAAAAGCAAAAAAAGTAAATTTCATAAGATCAGAGGGAATTTATAAAAAGTATGGCCATATGTTTTCATTGAGTCGATTAAGAGAGTGGTAAAACATTTTCTGTAAATTGATCCGGAACATTTCCCGGTGGAGAGTAACGTCCAACAACAATAATTTTTCTATCTGGTACAAAAACAACACCAATTCCAAGTTTATTTGTGTCTTTCCAAACCACTTGAGTAAAATGGCCGGTATTCATAGCAAAACCAGGATTACTATAATCATAATTTTTAATTTCATCATACCACGCTTGAGCCACCCGACGACCTACAAATCAATCGAAAAGATCATTGACAAAAAAGAAAAATATTCATTTACCTAAATCAAGATTATTTTCAGGTCGAGCTTCAAATTCTGCAAATATATTTTCTCCAAGTTCATCACGTTCTTCTGGCGAACTATGTTGAAGTAGGCCATTATTTGCTAGAAATTCTGCGTAATCTTGTGCCTTCTTACTCATCTTATCATCAAGTACAAGTGGAGGTACACCATGACGTGCTCGTAATACATTATGTACTCTTAATGCTTCCATTCGACAAGTATCTTCTAGTGATGTTGATGAATTATTTTGATTATTCAATGAAACATAAAGTGTTCCATCATTATTTCCAATATGTTCCCTCAAATCAATTTGTGTTGTAACCCACTGTCCATCGCCACGTTGTACTTCACAGGTTAAAATTGAACTTTGGTCAATATTTTTTATTTGAGAGCAAGAATCAGCAAACTGTCCATTGAGTTTCCAAATAATTTGACCATTTTCATTACTTAAACAAGTATTTAAATCAACTTCTGAATTATTCCATGTTCCATCAGTTTTTTGACATTGAGCTCGAAGAATATTATCCGTTATGATTATTTCACGCGAAGATAAATGAAAATTCGACATGATCGAAAGTGAAGGTAACAAAATTTGAATGTAACTATGAAAAAAAGTATTTTGTTTTTGTGCCAATAGTAACAAAACAATTAGGCTTCTATGTTTTTCTTTCTTTCTTTTTTTTAATGTACAAATATAGAAATATGCTCATCGTTCGTTACTGTTTACTCAAAATGTGAAGAAACTTTAAAATCTGTCGATGTTCCTAGCAATTTGTTTAAACAATAAGTTCATACAGGTTTATCTGATTGTTATGAAAGTTTGTAAACAATTTTGTCTCAGTCTCAAACCGCGTCTGGCCACTTATATTTATTCAGGATTTTATGTGTCGCGACCTTAATATTGATAAACTCTCAAACATAACATTAGAATCACGTTAAAATTCTATATCCGCACGTCAACTAATGTTCACGAATGATAAAATTAATTTCTGGATGTAAACAAAGTGCGTCAAAGATTAAAGAGACAGTTTTTATGAATATTTGGAAATCTATCAATAAGTTGTTCAGAATTGGCATCGATATCACGTTCGACGTGCAATAAACAAAAAACGCATAAACCATCATCAATTATTAATAATTAAGAGATAAAATTTTTTTTGGTTGTTGAGTAAGGGTTGATCGAAAGGTAATCGAGGTCGGGAAAGTCGAATGTAGCGTTACCTGTTTAAACTTGTCAATTAAATCGGATATGAGACGAGCTTTCAAAATACCAGATCCTGGCATCCCATATTCAACACTGTTAAACAAATAGTTTGTGAGAAGTAATATAAGATTTCTGTAAAACGCATATTATGCATAATTCTGCATTTCAAAGCTGTTCAGTAGATAAATGGTTTATGGGTATCTAAGCCTTTTCTTTGTGAAGAATGTTCCGATATGCAGCGTTCCCAATGTACACTGTGTAGTGCAGGACGACAAGAATACAGTGAAACAAATCACTTGCTTAGTGAGGGGAGCTAAAGGCTCATGTGGAAAAGCCATAATTAGTTTTTTTAAATAATATTTTACATTTTTGTTTATGTTACTACTGCGTGAGAAAGATCGACTTCTACTAATACTATTAATCAATATGTTGAAGAAAAACATGGTAAACACAACATATTGAAAATGACAATTGTATTAACTTTCAACGATAGACATGTTGCATGAGGAAAATNTTTGGTGTTGTGATTCAGGTACAGTATATCCTTTGAATGGTGAGGTTTATCTGGGTCGTCAGCCTGGAGCAACAGTAGTAGCTAAAGATGCAAATCGAATTCGTAATTTAGTAAAACGATTGGTACATCCTTGGATCAATACAGGACGAACCATTACTACAGATAACTATTTTACCAGTACAGAGTTGGCAGAGGATCTTCTAGGTGTTCAAACAACTCTTGTAGGAACTATTCGACAGAATAAAAAGGAAATTCCATGAGAGCTGCAACCGAATGCTCAACGTCCTGAACAATCATCGATATTTTGTTTTGATCGACAGTTAACATTAGTTAGTTATGTGCGGAAAAAATCTCATGCTGTAATTCTGCTGTCATCTCTTCATCATGATCAGACAATTGTAGACGATGAAAAGAAAAAGCCAGAAATGATTTTATATTACAATGACACAAAAGGTGGTGTCGATCATATGGATCAAATGGTTCAAACTTATTCTTGTAAACGAAAGTCAAAACGGTGGCCAATGACGTTCTTTTTCAACGTACTTGACATTGGTGCTCTTGCTGCTTTTCTGGTATGGACAACCAAAAATCCTCAATGGAATGAAAAGAAAAACTACCGTCGCCGTCTATTTCTAATGGAATTAGGTTATGATCTTGTTCGATCACATTTAGACCGACGACGACAGCAACCACATGCACTTCAACATAATGTTCGAATAGCCATACAAGCACTTGGACTCACTGTTACTACTTCACATCCAACTATTGTTTCAACGTCTAATGGCAAGCAACGTTGTCATCTTTGTCCAAAAGAACGTACTCGAAAGGTTAATACTCATTGTTCAAGTTGTAATGCTCCTTGTTGTCCAGATCATCATACAGTTATTTGTACTATGTGTAACGAAACACTCAGGATAAGTGCGGACTATAAGAAAATGTTTCAGAAATAAAAGATAAAATAATGAAATATAGATCCTTTCCTATAAGAAACTAAGTCTATAAGACGCAACTTATATATAACATAATGCTACTATAGTATACTGCTTAAGACGCGTATTATAATTATGTATCTTATTGAGTTGGTGTCCGTGCGGACTCCAGGTGGGTAATAAGTGGTAGTCCTATAAGTCGGCGTATGAGGGTTAATTATGTGCGTACCTGGCTGTGGAGGTACAGGGAAGTCTCAGTTGATCCGGGCTATAACTGTCTATTTTACAGAAACTAATTATGCACATAAATTAAGAAAACGTGCACCAACGTCGGTTGCTGCGGCAGAAATTGAAGCGATGACCATACATTCGTTTCTCGGCGAAGGACAAAAGCGATGAATTGTCCTGGACAAATGGCACTAGAGAATACATGACGTTTCGTTGTGTACATAATTCTGGATGAAATGTCAATGGTCAGTCTTAGCTTATTGGCTCGTCTCAACAAACTTGCCGCAATAGCTAAACACTGCGATCCCATGTCTACGATGGGTGGTATAAATATTATCTTTTTTGGTGATTACATTCAATACTCCCCAGTATTTGACAAACCACTTTATTACAACTTCACATCTTCGATTACAGATAAACTGTGTTGTTATGCTTGAAGAGCAGATGAGAACCAAAGACTTGGCCTATCGGAGTCTGCTGAATAGAGTTCGTCGTGGCGAAGGTACGCATGAAGACTGACAACTGCTTCGAACACGTGTGATTGGTGTCGGACTCTACATTTCTCTCAATGACCCACCATGGAATGAGGTACGTTAAAGAAGCCATATGGGTTCTCTTCATTCCTATCGATGTATTGTCTTAGGCTCCAATTCTTGTTTACCGAAATGAACTTCGAACAGAACTGAACAACCGAGCTGTTATCAAAAAAGCCTATGAGATGGGTCGAGTACCAACCGTTGTGATTGCTACCGATACCATAAAAGCCAGGAAGCATGTCGATTTGCCCGACCTGAAAAAATGTCTTCTTGCTCTCCCCGAAC